CGAGAGTAAAGAGACAATATTGCGTCATCCGTGTACTTTCAGATCGGTTACATGCAGTGGGTTGGCGTCTGACCTGGGCACAGCATTTACGGGCAAGCATGACCTGAACTCCGTGAGAACCTCAGACTCCAGCCTGGGGACACCCGCTCACCTGAGGACACCATCCAAGTGTTGGCAAGCTTATTACCCAGTCCCGACCAGCAGCATTCAACGGGCCCCGAGTCATATGCAGAGACTGTACTACAACAAGTGAGTCATATTTGATCATTAAAAAATCAACATTGATGAATATAATGAGTGTCACGAGAAGCACAGTTTTACAGATTGTTTTTTTGAATGAACAGAAAGAACACTTTATTTGCCGCTTTTCAGCGTTCACAAAGTTCACTCAAGATTTCCGCAACCAAATCCCACCCATTCCCACCCAACCCAAATCCACTCTATGAGATTTTAATCACTTCAGAGCAGGAAAGCACAAATTGCTAACAAAAATAAAAGAAAATACAATACAACATGAAATACAACTGGACATCTGACATGTATGCATACACCCATTCATTCCCTGACATTGGTAACAAAATATATGTAAAAATTAATTTAAAGCACGAGGTCTTAATTTGGTGTCGTTATTCTTGCGTCATAGTTTCAAGTTCCTCCATTCTTCCTCAGACTGGTTTGAAAATGAGAAAAAATTAATATGTTTATTTTTGAAATTTTAGCTTGCAGATTTTTAGGAAGAAATGCATATGGCCTTTGAAGTTCTTCAGAATTGCGAAAATATTTTGGGATTGCCTGCCATAAAATACTGTAGCTCCATTGAATGCAAATATGAAAATTCCATAGCATGTCGGCCGTCATTTCAGCGGCCTGCAAATGCAAAACTGATTGGCACATTATTATGAAATTATTCGTCGTTTTCATTGATTTATTCCTTTTTGAATAAGCTGACTTTTGTTTGATTTTCTTGTTTTCTTGCAATCAACCAATTCATCATCAGCAGTCAGCAGCAAAGCCTGTGCGATGAAGCCTACGAAGAGCTGGATTTCGTGAGACGCAGCCCAGCAGGGGTCGTAGACGATTTCGCCTGGGACGGGTCGCACAACAGAACAGCAACGACGCCGTCGACGTTCGACGGGTACGACCAGCTGCCAGTTCCCGGGTTCCACGCCTTCGGACCCGGACGCACCGGGTTCAGGATCATCCAGAACCCGAACGCTTTCGTCAAATAAATAACAGACGCGTGTCCAGAAACAAAAACAGCAGCTGGAACAAGAACAGGAAGAAAACCGCTCCCCGAAACCCAGAAAAAGCTGTGATCCTAATTTTTTTTTTTTTTTTTTTTTTTGCTGTTGTGTGTGCTCCGGAAACCGGACTTGGATGTTGTTTCCTGTGTTGTGCGGAAGTTTCTTGAGGCAAGCGAGAATTTTTTCCTGCTGGAGTCTTTTGCCGGAAAAAAAATGCCAGCGACTTCTCGTCTGCCCCTCGAACCTTTTTTTTTTCTTCTCTGTGTCAAGCTTTTGATGTTTCCCTCATCCTCGAAGCAGTTGATGTTTTTTGTACAATTCGATGCCACCTTTCAAGTGGTTCATATCGCGTCAGCATTTCACTGCCAGATTCAATGTGTTTAACAACATTTTCAACTTGTTGTAGTACTAGTCTATACTCTCCAAAAAATTATTGAAAGTGAGTTGAATGTGTTTTTAATGCGCTGAAATGCCTGTGGAAAACTACAAGTATTCCTATACGAAATCAAGTTGGACTGATGTTGAATGGAAACTACCCGAACTGAATAAAACTTGTTTTTTGCTATAAAAAAAAGTCGATTTGATTGCTTTAATTAAAACTATACTGTACAGGTATCATAGAGACAAAGAAACCCTTGTACGGCGTGTGGGAAGAAAGAAAAAGCCAATGTAGATCTTCTTTTAACCTCTATGTAGTTGATACATCTTTCAAAGGATTTTAATCGATGCATGGTATGCTTGGAGTTGAACAGTTCCGGAATGCTTCGTTATGGTTATGGACTCTGGAAATGCCCCAGAATCGCTGTACAGTTACGACAGAAAATCTTGGGAGAATGTCGGAAATCGCGTTTGGGTGTTCCGGGATGAAGATGATGGTGAGGTTTTTTTTTTTAAAGAATTTGATGCATGATCAAACTTCGTTTTACAGACGGACGTATATTAGGAAAAAATTTGTAGTACAGTCGAATAACTTCACGTCAAACCTCAAGCAACTAGCGAAAAGTTGAGTCGAGGAATTTGGGAAACAAGCATTTTTTCGGGGGAAAGAAAACAAAATTAGCAGGAAATTTTAATTGGTTATGTTCTGGGCCTTGAATTACTTTCTTTAAGAGTCAACAGGATGCTAAACTTGAAGATAAGAGTTCATTCCCGTAATGAAATCTTTCTAAGTTGAGCAAGTTAAATTATTTTATCGTTCCCAATTCAATACAATAATAGCCAGAAGTTTTCCAGAAAATTCAAATTATTTAGGTACAAGGGGACAGCCTTTTAAGTTAAAAAGGATTTTTATGTACTTTTTCAACGTAATTCAGACAGGGACTTGAAAAACTGCACATTTTTGGAAGGTTATTAACTTTGAAATGTTGAAGATAACGAGGTTCAGCAGTTGATCCATATGATACATTTTTCGTTTGCAAGATTTTTCCTAAAAATCTTGGCAGAAGTTGTACAGTAGAGACTCAGTTTCAAAATTTCCATTCAAAGGGATTAAAACCGCAAGCATGAATGAACCTATTTGGGCATTCATTACATTTTTCACATAGTTTCTCCTTGAAGCTCGAAGAAAATCATTTGATTATTTGATACACAATTCGCATTTGAATTATTTTAATTTTATATATGGACAAAGGCAAGAACTTTTGCGCAAGATCTTGGCAACGCTACCGTAGTCAATGATGCAATTTTGCGTAAAAGGGTGCAGTACAGCCGATGGATAACAAATCGCAAGGATTAAAACAATCACTGAATTCACTCTGCCATGGTTTGATGTTTCTTTGCATTAAAAAAAAAACAGAAGACAATTCGACGCAGTTCAGACGCACGTCGTTCACGGATCATCCAGCGATTTGGGGCTTGTTGTTGGCTATGGGGGTGATGGTGTTGCTGGGAATCGCGACATCTGTAATTATTTCAATCGTAACTAAAGTGCGGGAGCGAAAAGCAGCTGCTGAGCATGAAAAGCAGCTGAAAATTCGCCGTCAAGAAGTGCGAGATCTGAGGGAACAACTTGCAAAACTTCTCGAGAACGACCCTGAGTTCCAGCAAGCTCTTGGCGTCCACAAACGCGCTGCTTTGATGCGCTCTTCTTCAGCGTAAGTTTTTCGTTGAATCGATGGATTATTCATGAAGTTCAATTTCAGCAATGAATTGAAAAATCTGGAAACCTGGAATAGTGGTTAACCGGCTACCTCGTGATCTTTTTTTTTTTTTGCGGATACTCCCGAGTTCATTTCTTCAGAAAATGCCACTTTACACTATTGCGTTAGTGACATCTATGAGAGTAGGATGAAACATCGCTTCATCATCTTTCGTGTCCTCCACTGAGGCCCCTGCGAAATTAACACACGCTATCGTACGTGTTCAGTACGCACTACAAATCTACAATACAGAACTACATTACAGTACTGAACTATCTAATATCTGATTTAAATGAAAACATCAATACCTACAATACCAAATATTTTTAACGTTAAAAAGTACTTTTCAGCATCAGGTCGAAAAGCCCTTCTTTTCAGACCATGAATAAAGTAGAGTATTGTGCGTGAGCAGCACGAAGAGAGAGCAGATTACTTTTATGAACCTCGATTTTTTTTTTCTTTTTGATATCGCGTATTATTTCTGACTTAAGATTGTCTATTTGCCTATTTACCGCTGTACCACATCTATTAGTGTGATTGCATTTTTTCTATAATGAATCGATAGCCGAAGCCCTGAATATACGGTAAATCCTGTGGGATTAGAATTTATAGACATCTAAATTCTCACAAGTAGAAAGCCAGTTAGTTTCATGCATGAAATAAAACGTAGATGTCATATGAATGAAGTTTTCGTAGAAAATGACGAATCACAAGTTTCATTGTTTGATAAACTCGTCTGTGCGTCGCAATTTCTTATCTCTCATCGTAAAATGTCTCGGAACAGGAAATAACACCATACTGAGAAACACAAATATATTCGTATAGCTTTCATATTTACAACGATTGTATCCAGTTTCAGTGGTTCCATTCAGAAAACTTATTTTCTGGGAGCATTGCCAAATAAGCGTAAAGTAGGTTTTTCCGGAGCTTTTGTACCCTTATAGATAAAGTAACTCAACATCAAGAACCTATTGGATGATCATCTATAGATTATTAGATAACTGGAAAAGGTCACAGGTATGTTATACTTGAAGAGATGAATAATTGACACTTGCTGCTTTCGAGTGCAGTACTTATGTAGCATTCATGGAAATGAATAGTTGAACCTTCAAGTACCCAGTTCCATGAGACCTTATCATATCGTGTCTCAAGTTTTTTGAACAGTACAATATTTCATGGTCACCCCTTATCTTCACGCCTCCCCCTCACTAAGAATTCCAAAGTCCCGAAAAAAGGACCTCTTTTCCGAGTATGGATCGAGATTTATGTTGCCATAATTGAACTTCGTGTCGTGAGATGATTTTTGTCATAGAAAAAGATCCTGAGTTTTCAAGCTGCTGGAGAGCATTCCGTAAGACGTTTATGCATTTCGTTCTGGGAAATTGCATCTTCTTTTTTTTTTTAGGGAAGCAGCTACATTGATTGATGCTGTAGCACATCGCAGAAGTTGGGAAGACACTGGCGAAGATCACTCCAAGACCATGTCGTACAGCGAACGAAGGCAGATGATTAAATACATTCGAAAGAACCGCAGGGAAATTGTGAAAGAGCTGAAATTTAATCTCCAAGCAAACCAGACCCACGCTTTTTCTACCAGGGACTCCGTATCTCCGGGCTTTATCCTGACTTGAACTACAGCACCACGAAAGGATCAACAAACACGGTGTTTCTGCTGTCATCCTGAAATCTTATCTGGATTCAAAATGTCACAGGTCGAGAGGAAGAAGAGAGAGAGAGAGGAAATGGACTCAATTCGTTGTCAAACTATGACGAAATAAGACAATTGCTGATTTTTCGAACCATTACTCCGCTGCATTTCCCTTCAGCAAAATGCATTTCGCAAACCATATTCCTAATTTTCTACAGAAGCAATCACGTACGCGTATAACTGAAAATAACGTTTTGATTCGGAAAATTGTTGATGTCACGGAAAAAGAAGAACGGAATATGCGTACAGTACTTCCATCGATAATTAAGAAAAACATATTGATAATATTTCGAAAAATATCCCTCATTTGACCGTATTTTTTTCGAAAAAGACATTTAAAATATTGTTCATTTTTTCAGAGGTGGCTTCACGTTTTTCGTGAATGAGCCCATGAAATTGCCTGGAGGGTAGTAATTGGCAACCACTATGCTTTTGCCATCCTTGGTTTTTGCAGTGGCTGCTCCCATGTACCTGGTGCCTTCCCAAACCATTTGCGTAAAATGTCCTGCAAATAAAAAGAAAATCATCAAACGGTTTTCAAGTGAACAAAATGTCTGTACGCATGCATAAAACTTCTCCTTTCAAAATGTAAAACAATGGAAAATTTCCAAATGATTAGTCTAAAACTAACCGGATTTCAAGCTTGTTTGTGAATTGAAACAGTGTAATGAAAGCTGTGATCCGCAAAATGTTTTCATGAAAACGCCACACTACAAAAAATCGCATCAATTCCATTTTAAAAATCTATGAACCAATGACTTGACTTCATTTCACCCGTCAGTGGATTTATTCATTGAGAAAATGTCGAAAGAAAAAACAAATCGGCTTCTATTAATCATAACTTAGAGTTCCTCATTTTAAACGTGTATTGATATTATTCAGATACATTTCGTGGTGCAAACTTTTTACCATCTTCAATCCTACTGATGAAATCAACTACAGTATTCCACTCACCAGAATTCAAGTCGAAGGACTTTGGCTCATTGTTCCAGTTTTTGTATTGATCAATCTCATGATACCATTGATCAGCTACTTCCTGGCTTGAAACTGTATCCTTCGCATTGCTACTCCACTTCATGAAAAGATTTTCGCCGTATTTCGAGTCGGTTCTATGCTTGATTGATCCTTCTCGAGCAAGCTTGGTCACCCATTCCTTTGAAACTCTGGTGAGCTAAAGAGGAATACATACATGGAAAAAATGAAGAGGTAAACAAAAATTTCGAACGATTTTTCAAAAAAATATTTCCCGTTTCAAACCTCAGATTGAAAAAAATTATACCTGTTTGCTATGTTTCAACTTTGGCGCACCATGGCCCTTTCTGTACTCGTTGTGATTCTTGAGCAAATGTCTCGCGAAAACGAGATCTTCCTCAGTTAATTTCACGAGCCTGCTTTCAGCTGCTTCTTTGATGCCAATGTCACTCTCAGATGAAGCTGATGCCTGTGCTCCTGCAGAAACACGTTTTTGCGTTCTTTTCTCATCATCACTGCTGCTGCTGGAAGATGCAGAACTGCTGCTAGAGGCTGAATCACGCCTAGTTCTGCAAAAAGAAAGTCGAGTTAGGAAAAACATTCGGCAAACATTATTTTTCTTTCAAATTATTTTTCTGTCGTCCTCACGTGTGCTGCGACTCCATCAAGTGCTGTGTAAAAATTTAATGGCTGTCCTTCAAAAACATCAAATAGCTTCAGAGGGAAGCGTCGCATGTGAGACAGAAGGTTCCGAAAATTCATAAAAAATTACGATAAAGAATAACCCTGTCAATTTTTTGGCAACGGTAACTTTATTGCCAAACAGGCACTATTATTATGCTGTACTTTTTGACTGAGATCCTAGTGAAGGGTTTTCCTTCGACTGTCGAATGAAAATAATTTGTTGATGTTCTGCAATCATTCAGGGGAATTCTTCAGTGTATTCGTACTATCCTACATGATTTTCCCATAGTTGTTCTGCATTTTATTTTCTCAGATGGATCGTTTTCTTTTGTGTGTTCACAATTTATAACTAATCTGGCGACTTAAGTCATTTTTATCAGTTCTAGCGAATAATTTAGTTCAATTCAGAGTTTCTGAGTTATTATACACGAAGATTTGACAACAGAAAGTTTATCTCAGCGGCAGAGTTTGATTCATGAGATTGTTGAAACGCGGTTGTTTGATACACGACACGTTGTGAGAATTTATTTTCGTCGTTTTATCACGCGTGTTGTTTGCATTGTTCGGTAGATAATTCTCAGGAGTATTGTACATCACAAGGTCAAGCTATTTTCAAACAAGATTGATTGGCTCACGCTTTCAGAGATGATTTCCTGGGAAGTACATTATCGCGGAATTTCCCAAGGTAATTCCCGGCTGGATAGTAAGTGGCGACAACAACAGTTCTGGAGCCCTTGTCGTCTCTTTTCTCTGCCTTGCCGATGCCAAGTTCTTTGCTGTCTTTCCATACAACCTGAGTAAAGTGCCCTGGAAATGTTTTTTTTGTTCAAGAGGAAAATCCTGCGACATTTTTAAAATTATGATCCTGAAAAAAATTACCGGAATCCAACTTTGTTCCGTCAGGCTCAAAAGACCAATCAAACTTCGAGTGCTCTCGGTACCAAGTATCGACTGGCTGAGATGGAGAAATTGTAAACTGCTTCGAATTTGTTCGAAGGCTGAAAATGTTTTCCCCGAGAGGATCATTGAAGTTGGATTGATCCTGCCGAGCCAGGATGTCTTTCTTGATGAGAGTCTCAGCCCATTCTTGAGCCTTTCTTGACAGCTGAAACGAGATTCGAGTCGAGTAGGACTGAATTCAACGAGAGGACATTTTTAAAAATTGGCATGATTCCCACCTCAGCAGAAAGGGTCAAGCTGGGAACCCCATGCAGGGCTCGGTAAGAATTGTGGGCATCCAGGCAGCCCTGCACAAACTCATCCACTGCTGGAGAAGCTGCTGCATCGTGATCATCAACCTTGGGTTTCATCTTTACCTGCAACTTCTTGAGCTTTCCTTTTATATTCAACCCCTTCCCGTGGGCATGTTTTCCAGGTTCATGGTTAATCGAAGTGGATCCAGAAGAAAGTGACCCTCTTCCCTCAACAACGGGAGGATCCGATTTGCGTTTATTTCTCGATCCGTCGAAATCTACGCAATTCGACGCAAGTGAAAAAAAATTATTCGCAGAATCTTCGTTTCGATGAAATGAAATTTTAAACTGTCTCAACATGTATTGCTCAACATTTCGAAACGACGAAATTATGAAGATGTGGGAAGCAGTCTACGTTTTAACCATGAGCGAAAGGACGTTCGAAAAAAATTAGAAAATGAAAAGAGACACCTGAGCTGAAATTGCGACAATTGCTGAGTCAGTCAGATTCACCCAGGAAAGGCACAAAAAATCGCCATAGCTGATCAAAACGGACGGTAATCACCTTATTGACGTAACCATCTTCTGTTTGTTTTTTTTAGGTTAAAATGCAGACAGTTGAATTCAGCATTCACAGGACAAAAACATAGGGAATCAATGTCACGTCTAATTGCGATCAGAATGCGCAAGTCTTTGCATTGCCCGAAAATCATTCAAACTCCGGATAAGGGATAAATTTGAAGTTTACAGATCATCAGTAAATATTCCAAAAATTGAAATTTGAATGTTTCAATTGGGTACTCCAGACTCATTACGACGACCTATCATTTCAATTAACTGATCAACAGTCAAATCTTTTTCGCAGTAGATAAAAAATCATCAGATATGTTCTGTAACCATTAGGAATTTCCGGTGGGCACTTTCTTTAACGTGCAGATGAGCTTACAGAACATAAAATTTTACTAAAGCCACCTTTCGAAGAGACCATTGCATGTCATGTATCATGGGAAAAAAGCACAAAATTGGCTTACATAGGAAATATAACAATAGTTTGTATATGCATATATAGCATAGAAAAGTCAGAAAAATATCAATATGACACTGAAATTAAAGATTCAGAAGAGTAGAGAACATTTTCCTCACCATCTTCCACATCAGACAACTTTGAAGTTGGGTCATCTTTCTTTTTCTTCTTGCCACCGAAACCTTTCAGTTTTCCAAACAATCCCAATTTTTTATCTTTCTTTCCAGGCTTGCTGCCTATATGCTCATTTGACAAATCCTCCTTTGAATCTGAAGAACTAGTGGCAGAATTCACAGAGTGAGTGTAGACAGGCAGAGATCCTCTGCCAGATACCAAATTCAAAGCCTTCCGCCTTTCCTCATCCTGGAGACTAAATGAACTAGACTTAATCCTTCCAGGAACAGGATCCAGCTTGGTAATTGAAATTGTACCACTTGCAGACTCCACATCTGGAACTCCAACTCCAACTGAGCCAGTCATTGAGATACCTGGCTTGGTTAGGTCAGGTTTCTTTTCTGTATCCTCATCATCAGATGTGGAGCTGCTGCTGGAAGATCTCTTCCTGCTGATTTTTGCTCCCAAATCTTTCAATTTTCCAAAGAAGCCAGGTTTTTTGTCCTTGTCTGGAATGCTCACTTCTATGCCCCCTCCAACATTTTTCTCAACACTGGACTCTGATGATGACCTGCTTCTGGTTTTAGTTTCAACTGATGGCATTTTCAAGTCTGGAACAACAGGTTTGATGGTTGGCAACTTCACACTTTTCTTTTCATCTTCAGAGTCAGATGATGAACTGCAATCAGATTTCTTTACAGATGGCAGTTTGACTTGCATGTCCAGTCTGTTCTGGTCGTTCTTAGCTTCCATCAGCTTCCTATTTCTGTCTTCTTCTATTTGTATTAGTTTCAATTGAAATTCTTCAAATATCCTTTCTCCAGTTGAGTGTTTGTGTTCTGTGCTTCTGGATCTAACTTTGATCCCTTGTGATGTATTATCCATGCTGAATTTGGGGTTTGCCAATCTCTCATATTTTTCACGTAGTAAAGCAACCTTTCCAGGGAGTACATACTCTTGAAGTGAGGAAAGGGATGTTTTCCTACTTGTATTTGTTGTTGGTTTGCCATTTTCCTCCATGATGTCTTGAAGAAATATTGAAACGAAATGGTACATGAGGATTGAATTAATCGTTTTCAGGTCCCTTATTGACCAAATGGACATCAGACAATGCTGAATTTCCATTTTTCAATTGCTCATAGGATAGGAATGCTGAGTGTGAGTTTTTCCAACATCATTACTTTTGTATTGTCTAGGCATCAAATACTCAAACATATCATTATTATAACGAGTTCTTTTGAATCTTTTCTTTTATTTAGGTCTCCATTTTTGGAAGCATCTTATGAGCTAATTATACAGTGTATGGAAAATATTATTTGAACAATTTTTGGAAGTCAAATCTCTTTTTGAAAATAAGGCTGTGGCATCAAATGTACGTACATCATCTCAGTCAGTTTTACACGATTTTATTTCTTCATGGTTTATATTTCAACATAACGACATCTAAAAGTCTCATTTTCCGTTTCAGTATGTTGTGTATTGTCAACAGTTTTATAATTAAAAGTAAATCATATGCACTTTCAATGCCCAAAAACTTCACAATACACTTTTCAATACATTCTAGCGTATCCATTTTTAGTATTTTTTCTGGTCAAATTTTGTATCCCGCATGCCTTAAGGACCGCAGAAGCGATTTTTGTTATTTTACAAAAATGCAATGTTCACTTTTATATACGGTACTCACTGTGTGTTTCCTGCACTTGTTCCAATTGTTCGAAGCTTCTAATCAATACAGCTTTCAAGCTCAGCTTCTATTCATCCTCACTCTTCAATCGTACTTGACAGCATCCTTATATATTTAAGGAAATACTGTAATAATTCGCCTGCATAAAATGCGAGCATTTCTTAATCAAGGAAACACACACAAAGCTTTTTTTATTACAGAGTAAATTGGCGTTTGAAATCTCTTTCAAAAATGAACTTTCGAGCTTATTAAAATGATTTTTCAAAATTTTAAAATTCAAATTGCAAGTAAAAATATAGTATTGAAATGTTCGACACTCGATAGCCATTATTCTTCATCCTGCCACCCTACTCATCAAGCAATTGCAGCAGATCTTTTAATTAGAGTATTCATAGTTCATGTATGATAGAGGACATTTGAGTTTTCATATTTCATATATACAACAGTACTGTACTTTCGAAATTACTGAAATTGAAATGAAAATACTGTTAGCAGCTGTGTATGTAAAGCATATGTAGTCATTTCATAGACGATTAGCAGAGGATCTCGCCTTTCCTCTGGAAAGTTATGCTGCATTCTGAATGTGAATCTATTTATGATTACATGAAGTACACAGTGATTTATAAACACTAATAATCGAAATCATGAATATAAAAATTCAATAGGCAAATCAAAATGCCATTCACATGATCGAGGAAATATGTTGTCCTCTTGTCACGTACTTGAAAGTGTATATTGAATTTACAAATATTGCTGGTAAGGCGTTACATCAATATCATCATGATTTTTCGAAACCCATGAGTACTGCAATACAATATTCCAAGAAAGTGCGTATTCACATTTCGTGTAAAGGCCGATGTTTTCTTTTGCGCCTATGTAATGTGTTTATTTAACAACGGGCACCTCATCGTCTATGCATGATGGTAAAAATTTCTTCACACTTCACTGCTGCTCATATTAATATTTTTTTCATACGAACAAGCCTTGTATCGACTTGGTGGATCAAACCGCTCAAGATTTTAGTGTTGCTGCATATGGGTTCAGCATGCAAGCAGCAGCACAGAACTGATAACGCATTTATCTAGAACTCCTTTTATAGTGACAGTATCAACGAAAGTTTGAAGGTATGTAGCTCAACTCCTATCAAATGTTTGAAGAACTTACTCAGCTGGCGATAGATAGGAATTTTTACTTCCCTTCCATAGTAAATGCGCAATACGGTATATGGATGAATCGAGTTTCTTTTGTCAGTATGAGTCGTGAATTTCATTCTCTGAAATTTGAATCAGGGAGTTAGCATGTTTGAAGAACCACTTTTATTGCGCTTTATTTTTAAAGAACTACTGATTTCATTTGGCAGATCAGAACGATTTATATCCTGAAGTGGGTTTATTCCAGCTGATCATGAAGATGCTTTCAAGTGAGATTATGAGAACATTTGCGTGCTGTTTTATTTGTATGCTTGTTTCCATTTTGGGCAATTTGTTCTAGAGGTGGACGAAAAGCCTTCCCGACACCGAGAAAGTTTTTTTTTCTTTTTTTGACGATAGTCTTGATAGACAGGGAGATCTTCCCTGAATTCTATTTATTTTTCTTTCTTGTTTCTGGTAGATGAGATATGCGCCGAATGATTTCATTAGAGCATTGAATGCCTATCAAAATCTGGTCTTCCATGGAAATAACGAAAAACTTAGATGCGAACATTTTATCGCAGTTTGTCTTTCGTCCGTTTCATCTGGAACATTCAATCGGTAAATATTTGTCTGCAATAATTATTGTCTGTCAGAGGTCAAAACAGATTTGAAACAATGTGGCTACCATTTCCCTATAGTACTGTATGAAGATTCATGTTTCTTTGGCCGCATAACCGGCAGAAAAACTTGGTCCCGGTAGTTTGAGTCGATATTTTGATTTTAAAAAATAGTACGTGATACACATTTGCTATTTAGGAGCAAATCAAAGAAGGGTGGATTATTCTTTGCGTAATTTCTTATTTAATTATCCTTGCCAATGTGTAAGTATAGATAATACAAGAGCTCCCAATTCAGTGGAGTTGATGTCATAACATTTTCAATGAACTGGAAGCAGACTTCAGTTGGGTAGTTCAATTTTTCTTCTTTTCGAATCCAGTTAGGGTTTCCGACAAAATCATAAAATTAGCAATGTACCAATTGTAAAAAATCTGAGATTCGAAACAAACACGGAAAATCCAGGCATTTGGCCGAACATAAAATCAGCAATACACGCGGCAAGGAATTCATCGGGTTCCAGTCACGTTAGGAGAACGCTGTGATGGCGATAAGTAAAAATTCGTAAGAAAAATAGCGCGTCGCAAAATATAGGCAGAATGGTCCGAGAATCGCGTCATGTAATTTTGCACCCGCCAGAAAGAGGGGGTCAACATTTGGCGCAACGGGGTACACGCAGAATACCGCACTGGGGGGAAAAGAAATCAGTACTCAGATCAGCAAAAGGATTCGAACACCTTCAAACGCGTAGCTCATGAAAACATCGACGAGGTTCACGACACAGATATTCTCTTTTTTTCTCATTGAAAGACGTCACTTATGTAGCTTCTCCTCACGACCACAACACCGAGATTCTTAAAACACACCAACTGACACGAAGGACAGTACAGTACTGTACTTTGGAATACCAACAATTCTGCACAAGTCGGTAACGGGGATCACAGAGCAATCGCGAACGTACCGCAGATGAGAAACTTCGAATCTTCACGTCTACAACCTCGAAATGATTCCAGCTTACAGATTATTCGAACAACGCATGTCTACACACAGATCCGGTGAATCTAACTCAAACTTTGTACATGTAATCGGCATCCTGATTGTCGAGTTCCGTTACTAAACATTGCTTCAGGACATGGCTTTCCATTATAAAAGAAAATAAACACACATGGTAAGAATACTATACCGAGTTTGAATAAACTACCGCATGCTTAATTACTATCCGAAATTCGTGGGCCTACATCAAGATCAGCAGATCACAGAGGTAAAACTGGAACAATTATTTTTGCAAGACACCACAGACCAAAAAAACAAAAAAGACCCTTGTGCTCCGAAATTACAATTCTGTCACGCTTACGCAAGAATAAAACATGGAAATTGACAGATATGGCGAGCCATCTCGCGCGATGTTTCACGAAAGCTCTTCAAGGCGGGTTTCGGTAACACAGCAATGACAATCACAAGAAAAAACAAGTAATTTTCTAAGGATGCTTCGCTTGATCATCCACTGGTCATCAATTTCCGCGTAGCTATCGTAAATTACGCGAACCACAGCGTTTTCGGAAATAATCCGTCATCTTGCACAGATTCAACTTCTTTGAAGTCAGTTCGGCGGGAAAAGACTCGTCTTCCTTAAAGCTTTCCATGGTTTTGGCGCACTTTGTGCGCATTGATAAGCGACCGCAAGATACTTTTCAACCGAGTGTTTCACAAAACTGGGACATAAATTTTTTTCCAATGCTGCAAGCACGCAGCAGACTAAGGTAATTCGGGGGGAAAATCAGCGACGATGGGACAGCAACATCAATACATTTCAAGGGGAAAAATTCAAGAGAAAAAAGGGGGGGGACAATGAGAGAAAACTGTTACTCCTAGGAAAAATTCGAGACTCCGTTCCTCGGTTCTTCAACCTCTTGCAATGCAAACCTCGCGTGACTGCTACTGCTTCTCGCCGTCATCCCTCCAGTGCAAGTGTTGGCACGTTGCTGAAGCTTACGTCGTCTGTCATCGTTTTCGGGCTTTGCAGTCTGATGCACAGGGAACGGATGCCGGAAGGAATGCTTCTTCAACATGGCTTTCACGAGGATCAACGTGTCCAATTTGGGGATCGACCGCACGGAGAAGCGAACCTCGTCATCCGTGACCTCAATTAGCCCCGGATTGCAATTCTCCTCCTCCGTCGGCATGGGATCTTCGTCGTTCGACGTGACCCACGGATGTTCCTAACAAACCGCAATGAACAGCAATCAATATCCCGTTCTATGCAATGGACTCAAGATTATTCATGATCTCCATTAATTTGCCAATTCGTTGGGTGCCGAGAATGCCAACTTCACGCGCACACACGACGACTTTCTCACTTAGGCGCAACTTTAGTTATTTCTGAATAGGCAAGACTAAAAAATATTGATTTAGCCCATGATGCAAGATTCTGGACATGTATTCGTTTTTTCATAAGAATTTTCGATTTAATGCATAAGTGAAAACTTTCCAGGTACGGTCAGAGTTCTCCAGCCACGCAACTAGGTGATGAAAAATTTTAAGGTCACTTGAAAATTAAAAACTTGTCAATTGTTTCAACCATTTTCTTATATGGTTAAGACACAAAATTTTCAATTTTCAGCTGGCCTTAAAATTTTCATCATTGGCGACATCCTTTTTCTAGTTATACCTACTCTGGAAATAATGTAACCAAGATCACGCCAAAGTGGAACAACCTTCGTACGTGATACCCTGATTTTATCAGCCTCACGAAAGCGGGAGAAATATTTTCACTGAAGAATTTCATACGCCACATAATGTAAATCTTATATTTCTCTTCAGTCTATTGCATAGGATGGCCAAGACGAGTAGGTGAAGCTAGATTAACTGAAAGAATCTTCTCACACGAAACGCACCCAAGGATAACTTTGATTTTCCTTCGAAAGGAATGAACCTTGAAAGAATGAGGCAGCTGCAAACCTTTACTGATAAAATGGGAGAAAAGTATTGACTGCTGAGTTGACTCTTCGTCACACTTAAAATTGTCAGTCCTCTGAATCCAGTGGAGATCAAGCTTTAACCTTATACGCAGCAGTAAAATAATTGATCAGATGATTTGATAAACAAGCGCGCACTTCTTAAATCGGTCACGATGTACATTTCGGATTTTTAAAAATATATATACAGTAGTTGATTGTGCGGCTTGAAAACGTTGTGATCACTGAACAGTCCACCATCGAAAACTGTCGATGATTCTTCGAGGCCTTCAAATTAGTTTCGAAAATTACGAGGGTAGAAAGCAATGATCCTACCTTGATCTCGGGCACGGTTATTCTCAATGACGGATCCTTGGTCAACATCCTCGAGATCAGATCCTTCAGATCTTCGGAAACGTTAAAAGCTGAAGGGAACTGCAGGGGCTGGCTCGTTATTTTCGAGTAGAGGGCAAGGATGTTGTCATCACGGAACGGCACGTCTCCAAATACAATCGCGTACAGCGTGATTCCCAGCGACCAGACATCAGCGGCCTGTTCCGAGAAAACATTACATGATGACGAAGTTTTTATGCAAGGACATTTTTGGATAACACCCTCGAAGCAAATGAGGCGTCGCCGCTGGGATCTTAGAATTGGACGTTTTAAATGTTGAAGCATTAAAAACACATCGCTTAGGTTTCTGAACAAATACTTTTTTTTTTCAAAAACTCGAATAAAATGAAATTTATAAAATTTATTCGCTCAAAATTCCAGATAGTTCTTCACATGCTTTCAACAGCAACCCAGTTGAGCAAACTTGGTTTTTTTTATCGCCATCTTGCTTTTCCTAGACACGGCGTCAAATTGCTTTGAATTACGACTTCGGCCGGAACTTTGATACACTCGAAATAGAAAAAATTCCCTTAGACCTTGTGGAAAAAATACATTCGATAATCCTACAAATTCCTACCAAATACAATATTAATCTTAATTTAACAAGAAAGAAATGGCTATTTAATTCTCAAAATTAGACCTCTTCGTAATGTTTGACGCGCACCTTATTCTATTTTTTTTTAGCTCTAAGTCAGAAAAAAAATTCCATCTTCGCATTATACGCCAACATCAATATTTTAGCTCCCAAAATGCATGCAGTAAAAACTACATTGGGTAAACATCCATGTACAAGCCCACTTACAAGTTGACTTCATTTTTGATGTGTTTTTCTTATGCAAAAGAAAGAATCATCAAAGAAGAGAACTTCGGAAAATTTTCCAAGCAGGAAAAAATAGAAGTCTAAAAAATATAGCTAAAAAATGTATACCCGACCACAACGTACCACATTTTCCCCGTGTTTTTTTTTTTTTTTTTTTTTTTTTTAAATGAAGTCAACTTGTAAGTGGGCTTGTACATGGATGTTTACCCAATGTAGTTTTTACTGCATGCATTTTGGGAGCTAAAATATTGATGTTGGCGTATAATGCGAAGATGGAATTTTTTTTCTGACTTCGAGCTAAAAAAAAATAGAATAAGGTGCGCGTCAAATTCGAGAGCGCGTGATACCGATGTACAATAAATACGGTCACCTACGATCGGTCAAGATGGCGGGCGAGGTTTTTTCCCCATGCGAAATTCAGTACCTTTGACAACTTCTCTCGCTAATTTGACGAAGAACTGAAACCCCCTGAAAAAAAAAAACATACCTTCCCGCTGTACATGCCACGTCGTTGCATTAACGCCTCCGGAGCGATAAATGCAGGCGTGCCGGCAGTGTTACTTAGCAAAGCGTCCGAGCCATGAAACTCATTGCATACCCCAAAATCTGCCACTCGAACGCGTCCGTTATTGCCCAGCAAAAGATTGCTCGGTTTCACATCCCGATGGATGATCTTCTGGAAATGCACTGTAAAAGAAACAAAACAAACCTCAATAAACCGTATAAGTTTTTGTTGAAGTGTAGAGGAACTTACAGTATTCCAGACCAAGCACAATATCCCTGAAGTAGGCTCTTGCAACGTGCTCCTCTAGCGGAGTGTCTGTAGGGACCTGAAGGATTTCTCCCTTTTCCAACAATTCGAATGCTACGGCAAAAAGTAATAAAACATCATAAAACATATAAAAATATTACTTCAGCACTGAACGCGGAATTTCAAAACTATTAAATGAGTACCGGGAATAATGTCAAATAGCCTTTAAAATGATTATAAGTCAACAAAAATACACTGAAATGTACAAAGTTCTAAACGAGGGCGGGCAAAAATATCGTGCTCTTTTTAAAAAATCATCCAGCTCCAATAAAATCGATCAGAAGGAACAATGGGCTTTGCATTTAAAATTTCATGTCTGTGAAAATAATTGCACATGCGTAGTTTGATTCCGTCTAAAAAAAGGAAAAAAAATGATACCAGACGGAGAGAATAAACTTTCATCGAATTAAGATTTCACAGAGCGAATGATTGCTCATTGCAAGCCGCACGCGAACTACGAGGCCTTTTCAAGAAGAAAAAGTACTTGTCACAGCTCACCCATATAAAGATGATCGTCGTCGGGGTCATCCAGCACTTCAACAAGCTTCACGACATTCGGATGGTCCAGTTTCCTCAAAATGGCCACCTCGCGACGAATTTGATCCATGGGATTTTGAGAGCGCTCGTTCCACGCGGCCGTCACGGAATTCCGAGACCCATGCGAGCTACTCGGTATCCGTCCAGCTGCTGAAGCCGACCTGGGCATCATCACACGACCTACGCTGGCAGCCGCCGTCAAAGGTCGCCGCGATAAAACGCAAGGTTGCTGTTGTTGTTGCTGTGCCGCAGTTTGCTGAGGTAATCCCGAAACGCTGCACATCTGGGCTGGACCTTGCGCCGAAAGAAACCGAACCGGAGCAGGCCGTCCTGTGGCATAAAAAGCATAAAGATAAGTTAGATAACCACAAATACTCGACTCATGCAATATCAACACATTAAAGCATTGATAAAATCAGAAATCTTCCGTTTTAGGAAAATCTTACCAAAAATTTGTCCACATCGTTTAATCTGATGCACATTTATCAAGTATCAAGTTCTATACGCATACAAGAGCTTCGAAAGTCTAATGGATTCTAATAGAGTAATACACATTTATACAGTGCTTCGTAATTCTAATACATAGTATGAGCAGGGATTAAATTGCGGCATGAACGAGAATTATCAGTTGAATGAGACATTTTAAAGTAGGCTAAATTTCAAGCAAAAACTTAGGAACACATAGATCCTGGTAGTCATAACTACCTCAAGGTATCAAGGTAAGTTAAAAATTGTGAGGAATTAAAAAATGATCACTAAAAAAGCTTGTATCATTGAAAAAAAAATCCTAAAAATTGTATAAGTATTCGCAGATAAAAGCAACCTCATTGGATTTTTCCTGATACAGCGATGAATTTGAATACTTGAATTAAAATCAAGGAAATCCTAAATTCAGATTGCTCACCGTAAAGTCCAGCCCTCTTCATCAGCTTCTTCTTCGATAAGATCTTCATCGCCTAAACGAAGAATAATTTTTAAAAATCAACCCATAGATAACGTACGGAAATCTCAGCAGTGAAAAAAAAATGACCGCAGAAGAATGAAGCAATACTGCATTGCAGTTCTCCCAGGCAGACCTACTCGTCATATTTGCTAAAGGGTTTCGACTTCGAATGGAAAAATAAGTAGCTGAACGGTCATTTCTCCGTAAACAGCGGCAATTATTTGTGATTGCAGCATTTAGCTAACTACTGTACTTCGAAAAAATAAATAAATCGACTAAATACAATATTCGACACGGAAACAACCATCTAAGGCCTTTGCTACTGGCAGCAAATGTGTACCACGAAAAAATTGAGCATTTCGAAATATAAAATTACATTCTGCTACTTTCCCGGAATTGACTCAAAAGGTGAAGCACAGAAATTTTCAGGGGTAATATTCGACATCATTCACTTACATAATGAATGTCGTCTTCTTCGTTGTATGCCAACTTCACAATGCCATATGAGCCCTGCGTAAAAAATCAAGACAGCCTTCACGTCCAGTGACTATAACTGTGATCAGTTAGGTCATCAATCTCGGCGCATCAGCACCGTTATGTCTGATGAAACCGCAATTGCATTGATTCGCGAAATAATTATAAAAATGATTCAGAGTTGCTGGTCGCATACTTCAGAAAACTAGTCAATGATCATGCAAGAGATGGACTTTCTTTCGACCGACCGTGTAGAAACCCAATTAGGGAGCCGATAGAAAAGTAAACTCTGCCATACTGCCTCGAGTTACAAAACACACAAAAAGAAAGATACCGTACTTCAACATGTCTCCTGATATTCAAACCCGGGTTCAGAATGGAAGTTCAAGAAATGAATTCGTACTTGTCCGATATCTTCTTTCAGTCGGTACTGATTGAGCTGTGTGTAACCGTCTTTGCATTCCATGCTCACTGTCTGTGTGCTACGCAGAGGCTTCCGTCTGGCAAACCGTGGAGAACATGAAGGTGATCCGTATGGAGAATAAGGAACATTTGGGTAAATAGTCCTGCGTTGTGTTAAAGCTTCCGTTTCGGTTTCACCCGACCTCGAACAACTCGCTGGTGAAGAGGGCTGTACGGGGGTCAAGCTTTCCTTCACATTGTCTCCAGGCTCTACAACTAAAACCGCTGGCTTTGATCCCAGGATTTCAGCATCTTTTGCAGCAGTGGAGCCTAAGCATAAAATGAATTAAACCCAACTGACGCATTTACGTCATTTAAAAAAACATATTTTTTGTGATCACGCATACTTTTCGTGAGAAGTTTCAAAAGGAGCAATACAATTTATGAAAAGTTACATACACAGAATTGTCAAAACCATGATGTTTATTAATTTAAGGAAACATATTGTACTAACTTTTGGCAGTTTCTTCCTGGACTGCGATCTTTTCGTGGGTAACGAGAGAGTGCTGAATTGGTGGTGATGGTGGTGAGCAGACACTCGAAAATGTACGACTTGGCATTTTCGACGGGCTATTGATGACGGTAGTCACAGATGGTGTACGTCTAAAAGAATAAAAAATAAACACGTCCGTAATCAATTTCCCGTAAGCTCGCACTCATTTTCAATTAGAGGATATATCGAAGTGGAAGTATCGGATAGTTCACGGACTAGGTACAGACCTTGATAACACGGGAACGCACATGTCTGAGCTCAGACCTATTTTGCTGAAATCGTTGGCCACTGAAGAAATGGCACCTTGAGCAGGAGAACAACGTATGCTTCTAGCTGCCATTGCTGGACGCCCATCTTGACTCCCGTCTTCTTCTTCGTCGAGCCGATCTTTAGGCTCCGGATATCTTTGGTGTCTCAACATTATTGTCTAGCACGCCATCCTACCGTATTGCCGTTCAACCTATCCTCAACAAAGTAAGAAATCCATTTAACTACCATCACTGCGAAGATAAAGACGCACCCGAGAAACCTAGAAAAACAGGAAAAAACATGCGACACATTACATCTCAGCTGAAGTTATTCCCTGATTAAGGTCGTCACATAACCTCCAACACAACGTTGTGAAAATGCATCTACTGAACACAGACACTATGGCACCGAATCCAATGACAATGTTTCCTTGATCACGAGCCTTAGTCAACTCTTCCTTTTCGCTGAGAACGTCCTCACTCACGTTATTACATTACCGAAGCGTTACACGTAATTGAGCGTCAAGGAGCAGGACAACCTTCCAGAAACCAGGTGACGGCGAGACTATGTACTTCAATAGACTCAGCGAGGAAGTCTCGTCGTCAAGTGAGGTGGGAAACATAACGGCTACTACCGATGCAGAGGCACTGCTCGAACTAAGCAAAATTGCCCAACCCATGAACTGCAAAAATTCCCCCTTTGCTTGCATCCACTTCATCTGCATCAATAGATAGGTAGGGACCTTTTTTCTTTTCCCGTCAAACTTTTATCACATGTAGGGATGTATGGAATTCCTGGGTGATCCCCAAGACCAGAGATTGGGTTGGGAGCGACACCGTAAGCAGCACTGTACAATGTCCGGGCCCGCACATTACTGTATAGGGGTGCCCATCTCCCCCGATTTCGTAAACCGTCCTTACTTGTAGCGACATCTTGTTATTAACATTTTTTACCAACTACCTCGTCTAAAGCGCCCAAAGCAGCGGGGCGAAGCATGCTTGGGACGTGGGGAGATATTACCAGGAGGACGACCAGATTCCGCGGTGGTCACGTTTCTCGCGGTCTGCTTTTTGATCAATACAGTAAGAGCGCCGTGGGCAGTAATAATAAACACCAGGGAATTGGGAACAATACACAAGGGGTTTTTATTAACTGAGTTCAACAAAGGTGCTCTTGACAAGTCAGAAGGTCGGTGTTCAACACTCTGAAGACTGAGCTCCCTGGCTAGCCTCGCCGGTAACATGGCCGGCGGGCGCTTCGGGAGTCGAGGACGCTGTGCGCGCCAAACTGAGAAATAGTAGAGGGGGCGGCGTCTAGAGGTCGCTGGCCCTTACTCTCCCCCCCCCCCGGAATGAATGCTGGGGGAGTCGGAGGACGATCATGCAGGCATTCTTTGCAAATTAGTTTTCGCGGTCGGAAAGGGGCAATACCGAAGGGGGTTTTTAATACAAAAAGTTCGCGCGATTTAGAGGGCGACTTCGGTGATGTCCACTTCGGCTCCCGGCGGGTCGGCGAGGAGTTGGTCTTCGTCGAAGATGTTAATGGCCGCGAGGGAGGCGGTTTCTTCCAGCAGGAGTTGGTCTTCTTCGTCAAGGAGGCGTTGGTCGTCACAGTCGAGGTCCATGACGGAGGAGGAGTCGGTAGTTGAGCTTCGGATGGCGGGGCTGGGCTGTGTGCCCGAGCATAGGTCGGGTGTGCTGACCCGGTCGCTGGAGGGCTCTGTAGAGAGGGTAGAATCGTTTAGTAGATGATCTGGAGCAGGTTTGAGATTGTGGGGTCGGGAGGAGGAGGGGGGCATTGTGTGGCCGTTATAGGGTTGCATTTCCCAGGCGTGCGAGATGCAGGGGCCGGTAGGTGTGTTAATGATATATTTTCCTTGCCCGAGATTTTTACGGATAGAAAATGGGCCGAATCTTTTAGGTAAAAAACGCCGGTGCGCGGCATGTCGGAGGGTGGTGGGAAGGCGCGGGAGTATGGTTATATTCTGACCGATTGAGAAGGGTTCGTATTTTGAGCGATTAGCTGTTTTGCAGAAAGCTTCGCGTTGCTTTTTAACGTGCGCTTGGACATTGGCCAGTTCTTGTGAGATGTCTGGTGGCTGGATTTCGAAGGTGACATCGGCAGGAAAGGGGATGGAGCGTTTTTTAAAGAGATTGAGTGGGGAGAGGTTAGTGGTAGAATGGGGAGTAAAATTGTATGAGCGTGTAGCTTGTTCGAGGAAATTATCCCATTGATTGGGTTCGGGGGTGATTTTTGCTATGATTTGGTTGAGGGTTTTGATCGCGCGTTCGCAGCAACCATTACCTTCTGGGTGAGATGGCTGGGCTATGTGAACCTCAATTTGGTTAGCGCGGATGAACCTTTTGTATGCGTGAGAGAAGAAGACTGCGGCGCGGTCTGAGTGGATCAGGTCGCAGGTGCCGATCTGAGAAAAGACGTCAGAGAGAAATGCGCAGAGAGTATTAGCGTCGGCTTTTTTAACTGGTTTAGAGATGATGAATTTTGAGAAGTGGTCAATTGCGATAAGGGCGTAGCGGTTTCGCGCGGGGGTGAGGGGGAGCGGTCCCCAAAAATCAATTGCCAAGCGTTGGTGGCGTTCGGTAGAGAGGATGGGTGAAAGTTTAGCGCCCGTAGGTTGGGTATTGAAATTAAATGCGAGGCAGGCGGGACATTTTTGCACAAAGCTCCAGACGGATTGGCGGAGTTTAGGCCAGGAGAAGCGGCATTTGAGAATCTGATAAAGTTTGCGCCAATTGGCGTGACCCATTTGATCATGGTATGCTGAGAGAATGTCTTGGGATGTTGAGGGAGAGTCGATGACTTTGAGTGCGTTTAGAGTGATTCGACTGAGTGCGTCTGGTCCTGCAAGGCAATTTCCGGGTCTATAGATGAATGTATAGGTAAAGTATTCTAATTTGAGGAGGAGTCTCAACAGGCGTGTGTCTTTCAGGTCCCCGAGCAGGGCTTTATGATCTGTGAATATCTTAAACGGGCGATGTTCGAGATAATGTCTGAATTTTTTAGTGACTGCCCAGACCGCGGCAAGGAGTTCTCTTTGGGTGTTAGAATAACGAGTTTCGGGATCTGAGAGAACGCGACTGGCATATGCGATGATGTGTGGGTGGTTTTGGTTGTCGCGTTGGACGAGAATAGCCCCCAGGCAGGAGGCCGATGCATCACAGTGAATTTCTGTTGCGGCTTCTGGGTCGAATCGTTCAAGGCGTGCTGCCTGGGCAATAGCGTCTTTGAGAGCGTGGAAGCTTTGCATGGCTTCTGGGGACCAGTTGAGTTTTACTGCTGGTTTTTGAGGGATTGTGTTTCAAAGGGATTTTTCGTGGTTGGCGAAGTTAGTAGGGACGTGTTCTCTGAGGTAGGTTGCGAGGCCTATGAAGCGTTGGAGCTGTTTAGTAGTTTGCGGCATGGGAAAGTTTTTGATGGCTTCTAAGTGGGATTCAGCGGGGCGGGTACCGGTTTGGTCAATTATGTATCCGAGAAAGTTGATGGATTTTGCGAGAAAGCGGGATTTAGTGATATCGATAACAGCCCCGGCGTTTGAGAGGGTGTCGAGAACCATGGCCAGGTTTTTTGTGACCTGGTGGAAAGTTGGGCCAAATACTATGATGTCATCGAAGTACACCAAACATTTATTGTACAGGTGATCGCGCAAGATAGTTTCCATTGTGCGCTGGAAAATAGCGGGGCCTGTTTTGAGTCCGTATGGGAGGACGGTATATTGGAGTTGTCCAAAGGGGGTTGTGAATGCAGTCTTTTGACGATCTGCCTGTGCGAGAGGTATGTGGTGGAAACCTGAGTGGAGGTCGAGTGTGCAGAAGAAGGCGTTTTGACGGCCGCGAGAGCGTCAATAAGGAGGTCGTGAATTACGGGCATGGGATAATTATCGGGTTTGAGCAGCTTGTTGACTTCGCGATAGTCTTCTACGAGACGCCACTTTTTCATAGGGGGCGCATCTGGGTCAGAGCAGTTTTTGGGTGTTAAAAATGCAGGGGAGCTGTAGGGCGAGTGAGCCGGTTCGAGAATGCCGGTGGTTTTGTAGTTTTCGAGAATGGCGTGGAGCGGGTTTTGCTTATCATAACATTGGCGGAAGTGTTTAGCCATTGGTGGGTTATCCTCATGCGTGGGGAGGTGAGCTACGTATTGGGGGAAGAGGCCGTGGCGGCCGCTCCATTGAAAAATATTGTCGTGGAACTGCGCGAGAAGGGCGGTGAGAATGGCACGTTCGGGTGCGGACCCGTCGATGTACGAGATTTGCTCGCCGATAGCGCAAGCAGGTTTTTCTGTGCAGGGTTGTATAGCGCGAAAGCCGGAAAAGATGAGTGAACCATCGAGCGTGATGGCGAGGGGGAGTGTGTTTAGTACGTCGCACCCGATGATTATGGGGTAAAACGCGTTCAGAAGAACAAAGAAGGTAGCTGGGTAGGGGTGATTGCAGAAGATAAAAGTAGTTCTTACCTCTTCGGTGATGGGCAGTGAGATGTCCGTTACCGCTACCGCGATCGACGCTGATGCCGGAGAAGTGGGGAGGCGCAGGGTATGGGCTGTATCGGTCGCGATGAAGGACTTGGACGCCCCCGTGTCGATGAGCGCCGTGCATTTCTGATCTTTGATGGAAATCAGAATAGTGATGCGATCCTGGGCGGCCTGAGGGCTGGGGATGGTGCAGAGGACCGCCGTCACTACACCTTCTTCCCGTTTCCCGAACGTTAGTACTTGTGCTAGTACTTGCCGAGGGATCCGGCCGTTGGAGGCGACATTGTTCGGTCGTATGTGATACGTACTTTTTGTGGTGTTGACAGTAATGCGTCGGCGGCGGCTGCCCGGTTTTGAGGGAACACTCTTCCGACGTGTGGGCTGCCATACGATCGTGGTACGTGCAGAAGGACATGCGACGGTCCGAGGAAGAAGAAGCGGATGAGGAGGCCGTAGAAGCCCGTGATGCCGGTCTCTGCCGACCAGGTTGGGCGGCGGTAGCCCCCCGAGCAAACGAGGTTCGAGCATTTGGGTGTGTCAAACGGAACTCGTCCGCTTGTCGAAGGAACTCTTCCCATGAGATATGGGGATCGGAGAGAGCCTTGCCTTGGAGGTGCGACGTGATTCCTCCTTGGATAGTTGTAAGAAATTGCCCAATTAGGGCGTGGGTGATGAGCGCGTCATTATGAGCTTGGTTAGCGTCGTTCGCTGGGAGGTACTTGAGATAAGCCTCCTTGAGACGGTATCCGAAGTTGATGTACGTCTCGTTTTGCATTGGGGTGAGAGTTTGGAATTCGAGGAAGTGCTCGAAACGAGACTTGCCGAACTGGGCGCGGAGGCCTGTGGCGATTGCGTCAAAGGTGAGAGCACCGCGTTCATATAAGAGATTTGCAGCGGTTGAGACCCGCGGTTGGGTCATGCTGAGGAGGCAGGAGACTCGCGAGCGTTCCGAAGTCCCTTCTTGGTTGAATACGTTCAATGAGCGCCTGAGATAGGCGTCAATGTCTTCGCCTTCGTGCTGGCGAGGGAGATCGACGGTAGGGGACGGATTGAGAGCATTATAGAGATTAGGTAAGGGAGCCGGGTTGAGAGGAGCCGGTGACGAGGACGGTGGTGCGTTGAGAAACACCGTGTTCGGCGAGATGCCGCGGGCCGTGAGGACGTTGATGTAGTCCTGGCGCGTGTTGCCCGTGACTGGGCGGGGGAGTTGTTGGGTGAGAAAGTATTGGATGAAAGTAGCCTTTGTGAGGCGAGACCACGGGGAATCGGGGGAGAGGGAATCATCAGGGGTGTCGGCGATATCTTCGACGGGAGGGGAAGGCTTTGGGCTAGCCATAATTCAAGATTGAGGAGCACGGGAGGGACACTCGCGCTGTCGAGGGTAAAAATTGGCACTTAGGACGAGCCCCCAGTAAGAGCGCCGTGGGCAGTAATAATAAACACCAGGGAATTGGGAACAATACACAAGGGGTTTTTATTAACTGAGTTCAACAAAGGTGCTCTTGACAAGTCAGAAGGTCGGTGTTCAACACTCTGTGCGCGTAGGTACGAATTGGGAGATTCGGGGTTTCAATTCAGGAGTTGCTCTGTTCGCGGTTTAGACGAGACTGAGCTCCCTGGCTAGCCTCGCCGGTAACATGGCCGGCGGGCGCTTCGGGAGTCGAGGACGCTGTGCGCGCCAAACTGAGAAATAGTAGAGGGGGCGGCGTCTAGAGGTCGCTGGCCCTTACTATACTGTTCTGGAAGTTCTACATTTCTTTGATTAAGTTAATTGTTGCCAATCCCCTAATGAGTATATTTATGAAGTGACTTCATGCCTGATTTCTGAATCATTTACCCCGGAAAGAATTACCGTGCAATATATTTCAATCAAGCAATGGTTTGCGTTTACGAAAACCGGTGGACTGGACCAGGCGTGTTGCATTCAATGAGGGAAAATGTAAACCGCGGCGATTAGTGAAAGCTGTTCGAATCCATTCGTTTTAAACCTTGTGGTGAGGTATTGAAAGATCATCTGATGGGAGCATGAAGCTTTTCCGTGATATAGAGCTGTGACTTCAGTGTGTGGTGACAGTCGTTGCTGTTTTCTTGAGAATGATTCGATTCCAATGTCCTAATGGACAATTTTCATGGGATAAAGTATCCATCGGCTTCATCGGAGCTGGACAGATGGCTCAAGCGATGGCGAAAGGATGGATTAAAGCAGGTGTAGTGAAGCCGGATCGCGTTGTAGCTTCAGCGCCGACTAATCGTAACTTAGCCGCCTTCAAAGAGTTAGGATGTTCGACGACGAATTCAAACGGTAATTTTTCTTCAGGTTTCCCTGTGTTATATTCTATTACAAACGTGGTACTTTTGCAGTGGATGTTTTGAAAATGAGCAACATTATCATCATTGCTGTCAAGCCGCACATGATTGGATCCGTTGTTGAAGACTTGCGAAGCAATGTGGATTTTGGCACAATCAAGAAACAAACTATATTTATCTCCGTCGCAGCTGGGGTTCCGTTGGCTGATCTTGAAAAAGTGCGTGCGCATTCATAGCATGTAGCTCAGGCAAAAAGTTACCATCCATAATTTTTAGTTTCACTTCAACGCAGTGACTTCAGTTGTGAGAATCATGACGAATGTCGCATTTGCGGAATGTCAAGCAATGACCGCTTCTTGTTTTGGGTAAGTTGCACGTATCTTCGTTCAAACAGTTCGGTTACATTTTCTGTACTTCAGGTCAGTTGCATATCCATGCACTAAAGAAGTATTGACGATGCTCTTCGAACCCGTTGGATCTCACATCAGTTTACCGGAATCCTTGATGAACGTATTTGTTGGTATGTCGGGTTCAGGTATTGCCTTTGTAAGTGAATTGAAAAGCTCTATTTTTTTGGATGCTCATCTGCTTGGTATCCTTCAGATGTTCTCATTATTGGAAGGCATGTCTGATGGCGGTGTGAGGCTTGGTTTACCACGTGAGACTTCGAATACAATCGCCATTCAAGTAAATTATTGACCGATTTTTCAATCGTATTGAATTTTTAAATATATATTGTTTTATCGTTCATTTTTTAGACTATGCTTGGAGCCTCATTACTAGCTCAAGCAAATATGGGTAAGAGAAAGCTAGCAGAGCTTCGAGAATCTGTTTGCTCTCCAGGAGGTACTACGATGGCGGGATTGTATACCTTGGAGAAGAACGCAGTCAAGTGATTATGGTGTGAAAAAAATGAGTTACGTTGAAACTGTATTTTTTCCAATTATTTCAGAGCGGCCCTGATGGAAGCAGTGGAAGCTTCGTGCAAACGAAGTGAAGAGCTTGGATGCGCTGGGAAAAAATAAAAGCTTGAAGAAAGGAAAACATGCAAAAAACAAAGTTCACATTAAGATATTAATTCTGTTTTCCGCGAACTTGTTTCGAATTTTAGTTATGTGGATCTATAAGCCAAACTGAATATTTAAAATCATGGCATATCATTCTTTATCTCTCGATTAAGTTCGCAGAACTTCATTTTATATCGATGATTGTTCTTGCATCCGCAGATCAGCTGATCAAATTAATTTGTTGTTTATTCTAAAAATGCCGTCGGAGCGTTACAGCTTTTCTTTGACCACATTCAGGTATGTCATCATTTCCATCGAAGTACAGTGCGGAAATTTCATTAAGATTCAATTCTTTAGTCCATCTGGGAAATTGGTCCAGATCGAATACGCATTAGCAGCGGTTGCAGCAGGTGCCGCTTCGGTTGGCATCAAGGCCACAAATGGCATTGTTCTTGCGACTGAGAAAAAGCACAAATCGATTCTCTATGAAGACCAAAGTGTTTTCAAAGTGGAAATGATTACTAGCCACGCCGGAATGGTTTACAGTGGTGAGTACAGATTTTATTTTACCCTATTATAAACATTTCCTTTACTCATCAGGCGAGCTGATGAATCACTCGCTATTTTAATAGGTATGGGTCCTGATTATCGTCTTTTGGTGAAGCGAGCTAGAAAGATTGCGCAGCAGTATCAGTTGATGTATCATGAAGAAATTCCCGCCTCGCAACTTGTTCAGCGGGTTGCAGCCGTGATGCAAGAGTACACTCAATCCGGGTGAGCAATGTATTTTTAATCTCATGCTGCCGTTTTCGTTGATTTTTTCGCTGGTTTTGCATATGAACAATGATATACAAATTTCGTTTTAACAAATTGATTGTTCCCATAGTCTAATTACAACAATCTTGTTGTAATGAGGTACTATCTGGCTTTATTTCAAGATTTAGAAATGGCTGATTTTTTGAAATACTGTGGAGTACTGTATGTGGAAAAATAATTCTATTTTGAACATGCCAATTGGTAATACAGGTTTTTCTCACACGTGTATTCATTTCAGATCATATGTCAGTAAGATCATTGATTTTTAGGAAATTTAAGAAAAGAAAAGTAAGAAGTCTAAAGTAAGATAATTGTTCGGAGAATCTTGAATCTCATTTTTTTTTGTTGAAACGAATTTTCAAACTGGTCCGTGGGAGTTCGTTGTAGGGAGATTTACTGTATTTACCTTACGTTTTGTTCTGCTTGATCTGTCGGGTATTGAGTTAGATTATTTTTTTGAATGTTTGAGTCCGGTTAAGTTCCAGATTGGAGATTTATTCGAAACCCGCCTAAAATTTAACATTTGAATTCTCTAGATGAGAGAGAGAATTATAGCAAATTCTCAGAAATACTGAAGAATTATACAATTATTTTCTTATATTTCAACTTTTGCATATTTTTCATCATTTTTCCTGTAGAGGTGTGCGTCCATTTGGAGTTTCCCTCCTTGTAGCCGGTTGGACTGACGGGAAACCTTTCTTGTTCCAATGCGACCCCTCCGGAGCGTACTTCGCATGGAAAGCGACGGCCATGGGCAAGAACCACGTGAATGGGAAAACTTTTCTGGAGAAGCGATACTCCGAGGATCTGGAGTTGGAGGACGCCGTCCACACTGCTATCTTGACCCTGAAGGAAGGCTTTGAAGGTCAAATGACGGAAAACAACGTGGAAATCGGAATCTGCGATAAGAAGGGTTTCCGTAGGCTGACACCCTCTGAAGTCAAGGACTATTTGGCAAACATTTCGTAGTTTCTCTCAATTTCAGCGGCTTTATTTCATAATCACCGCAGAAGGAAATATTCCTGTTTCTTTTTTTTTTTCTCTTGCGCCCACGTCGCTTTCATGGGTGAAGCAAAAATACAATGGTTGAAGTCCATGTCTGCTGTAATTTTTTGAAAAATTGTCCCGCGAAGAAAAGATTTATGCAACTTTTTGGATGTATGTAGGAAAAATGCCGGCCAGATATAAAGTGACAAAAGACTGGAAAGAACGTGTTCGGCGTGAACACGAAAGAATTCTCCGCGTTGAAAAAGTTCAGAAGCGGGACCTGGTTTGTCAAGTGTATGCCGGCGATCTCCGTCAAACGAAAAACCAACGTTAGCGAGTTCATTACGAAAAATTGCGTAATTTTATTGTTGTTGACGTTGATAATTTTCTTTTTTTTTCAGCTGTTTCAAGAATCGTGCCATGGCCGGAAAATTTCTACAAGCCCGTTTCGGAAAAGAAACACAAGCCAACCCCGCAAAACTTCGCCACATTTCAACTAAATGTTGGCCCGGAAAGTTCACAAACGACATTGTTCATGCACAAACTTCCTGCTCAGAACAAAATCCCGGGCATGTTTTGTTACGCTCCAAGTCAACGCAATTTCATGGTGGATGACGAGACGGTACTGCATAATATGCCTTACATGGGCGAAGAAATTCTCGACTCCGACAAAGATGGTTTCTACGACGAACTCTTGTCGAATTATGATCATCAAGTGAGAAATATTTTTTATCTGACTTTTCGTTCATTTTCTTTCAATTCTATAATACCTTTTCCTCAATTTCGCGCGCCTTTCAAGATTTGAAACTGTTCAGTTATCCGAAAATGTATTATTCAACATTAATCATTGTGAGAACGTTAGATTCATTGATATTCTTGTATGAATTACTTTTCGAGGTTCACGGTGACGATCGGTCGAAAATTCCGGACAAATTGGTTTATGCATTGGTGAAAGCTCTCGAGCCATTCCTTGAAGAGGAAGAATCGAAAGAGAAGGCAGAACAGTCTGAAGGATTTGGAAAGCCGAAAGAAAGAAGAAACGAGATTAAAGAAGACGAAAAGGACGACGATAAAAAGTTGAAAAAGGATCTGAAGGAAGAAGATAAAGAATCTGCTCGTTCAATCGCCTTGCGAGCAAAGAGAAAAACCGCGGAGGCGGAAGGAGATGAAAAGCGAAAGAAGCGAGACAAAGACGACGGATCGAAGGATAAAAAGAAGAGTGAAGAATGTGAAGAAGAAGCCATTCCAGAGGGATCTACGTTCAAGAGTCATCCGTTGTTTAAAATTTTCGTAGCCATTGCTGGCACGTTGTTCGAGCAAGCCACTCCGGACACCATTGCGGAGAAGTATAACCGCCACGCGGCGGTCTTGAAGGGCGACGCCGATGCCACCCAGAAAACGCCGAATCTTGACGGACCCGATGCGCAAACCGTCCCTGCTTCTGAAGTCCTGCATTCCTATCGGATGCTCTTCTGTCGGCGATGCTACATGTTCGACTGCTTTTTACATCGACAAGATTCGAGTTATCTTGGACCCAGTGGTTTCAGCAAGAAACTCATGGATGTTCCTTTCCCAGCAGTCAGTACTTCTTTTCGGATTTCAAACCAAAACAATTTTGTTTATCAAATATTTTTTTTAATTTGGCGATACCGTAATTTTTTTTGTAGGCGGATGAAATTGTTGAATATCTAAAAATTAAATTGTTTGGGGTATTTCAAGGTTCCAACCAATAATCCCTTCCCTGCCAGCCTCCCCGGTGCGCACCCCTCGACCTCCAATATGTTGTTATTTCATCATTCAATTTTTGGGGACGTATAAAATTAATTTTGTTGTTGAAAATCTTTAAAAGAATTTGTGAAAAGAAGAAATCGATATTAACTTAATCTGGACTAACTTAACCTATATTGACATAAACTAAATCCAACCTAACCGAAAATAAAATAATCGAACCTACATTAAGCCAAAATAACCTGAATTGAATTAACGAACTTGTAGCCATTTTATCCCTAAACAAAGCTTTAAGCTCATCGGTTTTCTCTATGCTTGAGCTAGAAGGTAGTTGTCACCAAAAATCGAAGGATGAAAGGTCCCCGGGACGGGGTGGAACGGCTTTTTGGTTAAACTTCCCGGATATTCCCTAGAAATTCGCGCGAATTTTGATGATAGAAACGGCACGTGCAATATTTTCTCGTGGATACGTCGAAACTAGTTTACTTTTTGCTATAATTTCTGAAATCGTGAAGTCAATTCTGTCAACCTTTTTAGACACCATGCGGACTGGACTGTTACCAGCACTTGCCTGGAGTGAACAAGCATAATCCGGTTGTTGAGGACACAGAAAGCAATGCCAGTGAAGATTCTTGTAGCAGTAAATCCCTTCCGGCCTTTGTTTCGGGTTCTCGCGTGTCTTCTCGACCATTCGGTTTCTTGAAGCATGGCTCAATCTCATGGGGCGCAAACGCAGGGAACGGGAAAGAAGCATCGTCGCCTGTTTCTTCGTCCATGCCTTCATTTCCGAGTTCTGCGTCGCAAACTTGTGAATCAAGTCAGAATAATTCTCCCGGAGACTACATTGAATTTTTGGGAAAAACTGTGAATCCAGTGCAAGGTTTAGAATTGCCGAAGCAAGCAGTGAAACGGAAAGCGTTGCAAGAAAGCTTGCCATGGTTGCCAGCTGAGGAAACGCTTTACCGAGTTTTGGCGCAGACGTGGAAAGGTAATCCATGTGCTATCTCCTTGATGATGGCGTCCCGTACTTGCGATGAGGTAAGTACAGTACATTGCTGGTCATGGATAAATCGTTGAAATTTCGACTGATTCCTTGTACCGCATGTTTGAAACACATGTTTCCTGACGCTGTTTGGTTATGAGCCCCTTATGCGTAAATATGATTGCTGGAGAATCGTAGTTAATTTTCTTCCCGATATCTGAGAAATTTTGTCATGCGTTTGAACCCGAAACGTGCCCCGTTCAAAATGATCAACATTTTAATCGTTCTGACAAACTGTGATTGAAGGTCTCAGGCTAATTTTTTTTTGAGTTATGATAGTTTCGAGTAGGGATTCAGCAATACAAATAAAACTGCTCGAGAGATATTGACGATATATGGTTCCTTCTTCGTTTACATTTCTGCGGACAAGTTTTCAGTTATCAGCTCAGGCCATTTTTGAACCCATCTATGATTGTACAGTAACAAATGTTCAGTCACTTCAGTGAATTGTGATGATATCATTTGGTGGGAATGTGGGATGGACATTTTCGGATCATTCCACACACTAATGAATTGAATGCATAGCTAATTAATTGGTACTAAAGTAGGGCTTTCCATATGATCATAGGAAGATTTGTTCAGGAGAATTTTATGAATCTAAGGAAGGGTGGCACTAAAATGAGGGTTACAATTGTGGTTTAAACGTATTGAATATTGTTAATTAATTCCGTTTCTCCTGTATTTAAAACATAAATAAAATTTTAAACGTTTGGTAAAATAATTTTCTCAATTTCTAACTCGTTGGTTTTATTTTTTATTTTCAGGTCTACAAATTCAGCCAAACCCCTGCCGGTCAGATTGGTACTGAATCCGAGGAATCGATGCTGGGTGCGCTCGCGGATGCCCGTGGGCAAAAGGATGTGACCCCTCCGAGGAAGAAGAAACGTAAGCAACAACACCGTCTCTGGGCTTTGCAGCGAAGGAAGAACCAGAATGGGGGTAAAAGCGAGTCCTTGGGGCTGGGATTGAGCAATAGTAATTACGTGCCGTGTAATCACCCGGGCAAAGCGTGTGACGAAGAAGGCGCCAATTGCATTTGCGTTCAAAATCGAACGTTTTGCGAAAAATTCTGCATGTGTCCGTCTAGCTGTGAGTGTAGGAATTTTAGAGAATTTGAATGTCGAATGGTGAATTCATTATGACTTTCTAAAATACATTTTAGGTCAGCATAGATTTCTGGGCTGTCAATGCAAAGGACAATGCAATACAAAGCAATGTCCATGCGTCACTGGCGTCAGGGAATGCGACCCCGATTTGTGTAAAAGCTGCGGAGCTCACGAATTTTTGGTGTCGAAAATTTCCTGCAAAAATGTGTCGATCCAGCGTGGCTTGAGTAAGTTGCCGAAGTAAATGGTGTACCCCACAGACGATAAACTGAAATTTTATGTATTCTTTCAGGAAAACGACTATTGCTAGCACCGTCGGACGTTGCGGGCTGGGGTATTTTCCTTAAAGATAGTGCAGAAAAAAACGAATTCATTTCGGAGTACTGCGGAGAAGTGATCTCTCAGGATGAAGCTGATCGTCGAGGAAAGGTGTACGACAAGCACAAAACGTCTTTTCTGTTCAATCTTAACCAGGGTAAGTTGATCGGCATGCAAAGTCTCCTAGAAATGTGAAGGCATGATATTTACAGTTTTAATACAGTATATATATTCAACTCATTGAACTTCTTTCTGCCACCGGAAAATGCTAGAAGGATTATTGTATTCGATGATTAAAAAATAATTCAAGCTTCAAATTTGATTGAAAGATTTCATTTTTAAACGGTCATTTAGTTTTAAATATTTTTCTTGAAGCGACATGGTATCACTGTTACCTTATAAGAATTGTTTCCAGATTTGTGTACTTGAATGTGAACTTAAATTAGAACCTGATTCGTTATTAAATCCAGGTGTATTTACATTGAAAACTTCGTTCACATTTTTATAATTAGCCTGTGAAACAGAGTATCGGTCGTACGATTAAGCAGGTCACATGGTGTCCAGGATATGTTAGTACATTTTTCTCTCATTTTTAAAGTATTCAAAATGGTGGTGCTACATAATACTGTATCCTAGTTTTATATTCGAGTTATCACGATAATTTGAATGTCAGCTGTTGATAATCTATTTTTTATTCCGTGTTTTCCTAGATTTTGTGGTGGACGCGACACGGAAGGGCAACAAAATCCGTTTTGCGAATCATTCTGTGAATCCTAATTGTGCCGCGCGAGTAGTGATGGTGAATGGTGACCATAGGATAGGAATATTTGCCAAGCAAGCCATAGCCCCCGGGGACGAGCTATTTTTCGATTACCGTTACAATCCGAAGGAAGCATTGAAGTTCGTGGGAATCGAACGAGAAACGGACGGCGCCATTGTTATACCTGCTCCCTGAAGCGGTTGGTCATTTTTGGAATTTATGGAATCATTGAGACTCATTTAGTAGCTGTACTGAAATTGAATCGATCGGTTCAAGTCGAAGATTTGAGCGTTGATCTTGTATACATGCCAGGAAGAATTGATTCCAAGAACTGTTCTCGTCATTTGTGGCGAATGAAGCGAAGCCTTGTCGGGGTCGTCGCTTAGGTTCACTGAAACTCTTTAGGCACCCACATTTTTTTTTTCAATATTTTCGTTCTCTATGAGAATAATGTATTCATTTTTTTTTTACAGATGTTCAGCTTTGTAATTTTTTAAACTGCACTTCAACGACTGATGTCCAATGTGTATTGAATGAATTTCATGATTGGGCTTCTCAGCTGATAAATGTATCTGTGAAAATTGAAAGCAACGATTTTTCGTATTTGGTATTTTTCTTTCATTTGAAAGGATCGATCGTTTCTGGGAATACTGTATTGAACAAAAAAGGAAGAGGACATTTTCTTCATCATAAACCGGTTTGAATTTCAACCTTCTTTCATCAGCATCAACAGCGTTTCAAGCTTCTTGATTTCAAGCTCTCGTAATCGTGTTTCATCGGCATTCTTCGCCTCTTTTGGTAACTTCCGTAGATTCGGGGACAGCTTCAGTGACATCACATTCCCTCTATAGAATTTGGGCATCAAAATTAAAACTTATTCAGCATTGACGATACAGTATTTTCGGAAGACAACTTACCTGTCGTCGCCGACAAGTATGATAGGGTGAAGGGGGTTGAAAGCTATGTGGGTACATTTGGTCCTCTTTTTCCTAGTGACTGATTGAACGCAAATAGGTGCATATTTCTCCACGGAAAGGTCGTAAACGTAAACCCGACCTTCGCCAGTGACCGCTGCTAAAACGGTGCTGCTGAATGGGGCCCAGGCTGCGTCCTCAACCTCGCAACCAAGGTCCAACGCGAACAGTGGATGACTGCAGAGGGTCGTTATTTGATTAAATCGATTACATTCTGAGGTCTAAGGCTTATACATTATTATAGCTGTTCTGGTGTGCGACCCATCCCTTCAACGACTTCTTTCTGTTTATTTTGCGTTCTGTTCTCTTAAGTCTCTGGGGAATATATTGATCAACTTTTCAATATTAAATTTGGCTGAAATGGAATTCAGGTTAGGCTTTCTTCATAATTTCGAGGGGAAATATAGAGTTCTAACTCGGTTTTATTCTATAAAACGTATGGGGTTGTTTCTGTATCATGTAATTTTTCCATTCCAATAATTCCAGAAAACTCAAGAACTTCTCAATATGCTCGAGTGTTCAATGAAGTCAACCCAAAAATTACTGTACTGCTTTAGAGTTTAGCCTGTGTGAAAAACTGAAAACCCATGCCTTGTGAGCATCCACTAGAAAAAAAAGAACTTACTTTTGCCATTTTTCTCGTCTTCCCTGTATATCAAACGATATGCAGTACATGACAGATGGACTTTCTCTGGAATAAAAATCGAGGGACGAGAAAAAAGTTCGTTTTCGAAGACCCTCGATCGCTTTATGTGACCAGAAAATAAATTTGTACTGAGAAACTGTATTTTAACCTGTATGAGGTTTAGTGAGTCTTTCTAATTTTATTCGAGATGCTTGTAGATGGCTAAAAATTTGATTTACTTTCCAACGTATTTCAAGCGCATGATTTCTGTCTTAGTCTTTTCCAGTCAATCAGAAATTGTGTCTGCAGTGTATACAGTACTGTATATGGTTACATTTTATTTCTGCTACCATCTGCAATGACTCCTTTAATGTACGAGTAGACTCTCTCTCTCTATAATGATCAGAGGTCCTCTCCCCTTCCCATAGGGGTTCTGTGCTGCAAAATTCTTTCCACGAAGATTGTTTCTTTGGACCCTAAATTTTGTTTTACTTTAGGAATAGTCCTCTCTATTAACATTGTGTCCTGTCAAATGCTTCACATTTTCCTTGAAGGTCGCATAGCAAAACAGCACCAATAGATTCAATAGCATCAAGCGGGTATATTCACCATTTTCTGTGATCCCAGATCCGAATTGTCCAGTCAGCACTCGCGGACAAGAATATGTTTTCGGAGTAGTGATTCCAGGACAATGCATGAATAGGCATTTCGTGTTTTGCAAAGTTTCCGAGGCGTTTGGACTGGTACAAGGTGCTGCCTTTGTAAATCCGACCTTCTTCCGTTGCAACGACGAAGGTTGTTCGCATCATTTTATGAAATGCCAGTGCAGTTCCACAGCCTGTTCATTGAGTTGTTTAGTTCATATGTTTGTTGGTTCATATTTTAAACCTACCGACGGCGTGAACGAGTGATCCATCGGTTGCTTTGATTGGAGGATCAATGGCAAGTATGACTACATCGTGATGTCGCAAGTCTTGTGACGCCAGAGTCCATTGGACGACTCTTCCATCACCACCGACCGAGTATAATATTGGTTGACCATCGGGATCATCGTTACCCCAGCAAACCTTTGAAGTTTTCGACGGAAACTTAGAACACGGAGGAAACCCCCTGATACAGTCGCCCTATACAAAAAGCACGCTGACAAAAAGTCCCCGAAATTAAAAAATATTTATTTGTATGCACTGCGATCCTCGTACTGTATATTGCACCAGAATCCCCCTTTCGTAACAGAATCATGAAGAAAAGGCGTGAAGTATATTTTCGCCGGCTGTGATTTCCCATCAGAGGTTCATCTTCAGACGTTTGAGGGAAATGAACTAAGTTATCACAACGGGAAAGGAAGATAACCAACCAACCTGCCAAACGACATCTGTGTGGCAACCATCTTGCAGTTCAGTTTCCCACATGCAACCTCCTCGGCCGTTGGCGAGTTTGAGATTGAAAACCTGTGACGTTCACGTTCTAGTAAATCTTAAATTGAGCCCAGTCAAGCAAAAAATACCTTGATTGACCCGTTATGAAGCCCAACAGCGACGAGGTGGGGGTAAACACTATGAATATCCACGCACATGATTCCACAAGCTGTTTCAAAAATGTATTCTGGATGTGACGGGTTTTTCAAGGTGTATAAGCAAACGGCTCCTCGATTGGGTTGATTCTTGAAGTCATCTACAGATTCAGACTAATGATCATCAAAGTAAAGTGATCGTCTCCTTACGGTTGGCCTGAATTACTCATTGATGTGTTCTCCGATTTTTAATTTTTCATATAAATTTTGAATACTAACATGATCCGTACGAGACCGCGAACAGATCTGGGAAATGTGCAGACCAACAAATGCCGGTGATGGCGAATTGCTTCTTCATGATTTCACATTGGAAACTCCAGAGTGGTAGAAGAATTCCTTCGGGATCCCTGAACTCATCTGCGGCATCCTCCCAGTACCTAAAATCTTAAGTATTGTTGGATGAATGAAAACAGGATTCGTAAGAATACTTTGTTCACTCGAATGAGTTCGTGAAGATCGCGCCAGCCCAAGTAAGTAGTCTGCGTTAACATATCTTCAAAGGTGATATTTACCCAAGGTAACTGCATCGAAAGAATTCTGATTCATCATCCGTTCCACAACCCTCGCAGCTCTCCCGAGTGACCCCAGGTTCACCTTCTCTGGCGCCAATTTGTCAATAGGACCGATTCCGCCAGAGGTGCTGCTGGATTTCCCTGCTGACCGACTTCGTGGACTCTGGGGTCTACTTGCAGTGGGCGATCTGAACGAATGTGTGGAAGTTGCCACTGCAAGTTTGCCCATGCTGCTCGCTTGACGGCTAGGGTTCGGCAATATTGAAGGTGACTTGGCTGCAGATGAAATTGCGTGCTGGCCGCTGTCCGTTTTAGTTTCTCTGACATAACCATCGTGGGAGACCCACTGGTTGAAGAGGCCCGAGAAGCTTTGGATTGGAGGTGGCTCTGTCATGGTTGTTTTCTCCTGCGCATAATTCATGAGTACAGTACAGTATATACGGGGTTCCCTGTGCAGATCTGCTAAAGCGAGAAAATGATGAAATGTTGATTGAAGACCACTCTTGAAAGTTTGGCGAATAACCTATAAATTACCATTGTGGCGAGATGAAACGCTATACATTTTTTCAGCTAATTATTCTCGAATTGTATTGTATAAAAAAGTGATTCATGATCTCGAATATGTTTAGGTCAAAAATCAAGGAAATTTATTGAATACTATTGAGCCTCTGATATCCTGCTAGAGAAAAATTGATTGTTCTAATTTTTCTACTAATTTCGAGGGTCTGTGAATCAAATAAGAAACTTGAAGGGATAATAAAGAACAGCTCAGAAATTGAGCTACACATTTTAAGACCGCAACTGGACCAACATATTTAAAGCCAGCGATTCCCTTAATGATTTAAAAATCCGGCTGATTTTTGTCAGCGTCACAAAACCGGAATCATAAAATTTTAAAAATGAATCCCAATGCAATTTGTATACACCTAAGTCAATGTTATAAATTGGCTCTTTTATTAATTTTTGACTGTATCTGGTATTGATCTGTTTTCAATCTAACTTCATTTTCTCCAAATCGATGGAGAAATTGTGAAAATTGACCACCGGAATCAATATACTTCTCAGGTGAGTTGACAGGATGCTTAAACTGCGGACACGACCAGACTTCATTTGACCAATTCATCTTTCATTTCACAACAAATGGAGTTACACTTTGATTGCTTCTCTCTTTCCTGTTTTGATGAAATAATTGACACAAAGCTTCCAGAAAATTCGAGCCGTTTTAACGTGTGCAAAATTGACATATTAATGTATTTGACTGAGGGAGGTTGAAGTTATCAAGTTCCAGCTGTGATAATGCTGGTATAGTAATAAGTATTATTATACCCTCAAAGCAGAAGTGTGTGTTTGGCAGGCGCGTTCATAAAAGTTAAACTGGTTGGCGGCTGCATTTGCATCCCTTTTGGCGTTATCTTTTGGTCCCGCAGATTTCCCGCCAAGTGCTTTAGAACCAGCCGGTCCTCCATCTCCTCTTCCTGTTATGCGGCCACTATAATGAATAAATAAATAAATAATTTATTTATTTCTTTCGTCAGTTCTGGTGCTGGGGATTTTTCGGCAATCATCGCGCTTCTATAAGTTTTCATCAGCTGCGTCGTCCGCAGGGGATGCTTTAAATTGTGACAAATTGGATTTGAATATGATCGGAGATAAGGATGAATTTAATGATTACGGTACCCTCTAATGTCATCGATGTCTGAATCCAAGTCATCTCTCTCGGTTCCACTGTCCTTCTCATCTCGACTAGTAGTCGTCAACTCGTCATCGTCGTCATGAATTCCTCGCGTGGAACCGGGAACAATGCCGGATTTTGCTTGGAAACCAGTTGAATCCCTTCGCTTGAGCATCATGGCTGATTTTGTCGCCTGAAGGAGTTCTGTGAAAATAATAATAAACTCGAAACGTGATGCTGAGAAAGCATTTAAACTATATCTCATATTCAGGTACAGACTATCTCTTCAACAAAATTTACGCGACCGGAAACAAATTCGCTGCGAAGAGAATTTCGCTTATCTTTTTCGGAAACTCATTTTTACTTTATCTTACTGAAGTTTGTAATATCTGCTCATTTGTTCTACTTCACTTTCCAAAAATGGCTACAGATGCAGCAGAAAAAATCTCATAAAGTATATAAATTAAGCGAGATTGATGGATGATGGAGGCCTTCATTTTTTTCGTGGTCCCGCAATGGCGGAGAGCAGGGGTTAAGAATGATTCTATCAAATGGAATAAGAGTTGAGAATGGAATAATCAAGATTATTCCAGAGGTTTTTCTTTGCAGAAAATAAGAAGTATAGTATAAATACAGTGCAGTACAGTATAAGGTCAACTCACTGGATTTGCGGTTGGTGGAGAGAAGCAGGCTGGTGGTTGCGGGGCACTTGCGCAGCATGGCGATGCCATCGGGCGAGTCCTTGGCCACGATGGAGCTTTCCTGCTCGAACAAGTGAATGCTCAGCGACGGCTTGAACGTGGTCTGGATCCACTCCCCGCGAACCCAGGAATACACCACTTCATTCTTGTTGCTGTTTGGGTCCCCGGACTGCAACCGCTTCTTGATGGTCTCCAGAAACTCCTGTGTGTATAATGTATATGTATGCATCAAAGAAACACATCAATAAGTGATCCATCATCATTATGCAACATTACATATCTTGCTGGTGAATTAAATACAGTTGAACCACTTGAAGTCAATAAACTTTGAAGGACCAGCCAACAAGTTCGCTTGAGGAAAGTTTGGAATTGGGGAAACAAGTATTTTTTTGCAGGGAATATAAAGAAAAATGAGAGCAAATTGTAATTGGTGTTATTTTGTGTCTTGAACTGCTTCTTCAGTGCGTTGACAGGATCTATTGAACTTTAAATGCCAAATTAGCATTTCAATTCCATTCAAAACACATTAAGTTAAAATTTTCTTGATTTTCTCTTCCCAATGTCCATATAGTAATTGCCCAAAATCTCCGCACAATAATCAATTTGTGGAGTATTGAAGGGAAAGCCTTTGATGGAGTTACTGAGGTTTTCAGTGCATTGCTCCTATAGGAATTCAGACCGGGACTTGAAAATAATTGGCTGAGGAAAGTATTGTATAATGTACTTGACTTTTTGGGAGCTTTGGGTTGTCAAGATTCAACTGTAGTTTGCATAATGCTTGGAAGCACAAATGTTCTATCACATCCTTCCGTGGAATTTGTCCTTTTCGATGAATAAACGAACCACGGCATTGATGTCTCATCATTTTTTCCTCAGCGGGAGCCATGCGTTAGTGACATCTACACTCTGATAACGTGTTTCGCGCCCGAGTTGGAAGTTATCTCATGAAGACGCGTATTTCACGTTAGGTATTTTGTTTTTCTTTTGCTTTTCGTAGATGTCACCATACGGCGCTCATCTCTCAAAGTCACTGCACGGTACTGCCAAATTTTCTGGGATTGGTCAAATGTTAGGCTGATATCCAAACCCGCATAATTAACAAAGAAAATCCTCGAGCTTCAACTGCACGAAACATAATGAATACGACATTTACGTGTCTTTAAACTAAATCATAGACTTGGGGGGGTTAAAAGTGAGGACGAAAGTCGCTTTATTGATTCGTGGATGATTTGCACTCAAAAAACCCCTGGAATTCGGACCGAACCTCCCCCAAAACTGCTTTTCTTGATTTTTCTCTCGTCCTTTCTTTTTCATTTACCGCATAAATATAGGCATCGTCCTCAAGGTGGTGCAGAACTGGTTGGAGTTGAATTTGCTGGACGGGTTCTGGAGCAGGTTTTTCTTTCGGCTGTGCATTTCTAGCGTCATGATAGCCGCGAGAAACAGCGAATCTTGCAGCACACATGCTGTTAAGCCTCGCAGCCGGTAAAGGAATTCAAGACATTCCCCATGGCGTTTGATGACAGAATAACTTTTTTTTTATGTTGAGTAAATGGCGATAGGAAATAATATTTTATTTTTAAATGGAGAATGATCCCGGGAAAGTGTCAAAATCGTTCCATATTGCAGCTTGATCACTTCAAATTTGCTGCTATTCTAGCTGAGAAGGGTATTCCTCCATATCACGAATTGCCAAAAATTTTCCGCCGTCTCACAAATCTTCAAAATATACCGCACTAAATGTTGAAATCGAATTTTCTTTAGCAAAAACATCTGACGTTGAAAATTAAATATCTCCTATTCTCCCATTTCAGGGATGGCCTGAAATGTCACACAGTTTCTCAATTCTACGTTGAAATCATATTTTCTCATGCAAAATGCTGTATTCCTATAGAAAATTAAATGCAGGTGGACTCTCTCTATAAACAGTGATCTCGTCTATGCAGTGCAACGATTGTATCTGTATAACGAATTTTTGTATGGTCCCATTTGGTTCTCTCCCCATGTTTTACGGGTTCTCTGCAACGAAGTTCTCTCTACAACGAAACTTTTTGATCTCATGAATTTTGTTGTTCACGGGTTTCGCGTAAAGATTAAAGCGAGTTTTGTGACACATGTAATGAATATACTGGAGCACCAACAAGAATTCACTTTGACCAAAAACACTTTTGTTATTTTCACTTGTTTCAACCCAATTTTCGGAAAAAAGGGAGAAACTGGTGGTAATAGCAGTCATTATACTCTTTGCTCACAATGAATAAGAACAACAGCAGGTGCTGTTTATAGGAGGACCCAGACCACCTGGCCACAAAGAAGCCAGCGCCCTGGCCCAAGACTGTGGGCTGGGCTGCCGACACCAGGCTTAACAGGTCCCCCAACCCTCCCCCATGGGCACAGCATGAGCCAGCACTACGGTGAACAGGAAAAAAAAAATCAGGGCATGATTTGGTGCCCTAGAGAAAACCTGTCTGCTCGTGTCCGCAGCGACTTAATAAGTGAAGGTTGACGGCCTTTGTCGCTATGCACGGTAAAAGACGACCCGAGCTTTGGTGGACGAGAGGACTGCACTAATCATTCCCGGTTCAAACGTCATATGGGGCAAAATCACAAGTCACGGCCGACCAATAATATGACTGAGAGGGTTCTGTATTAGTGCTTTAAAGATCCCAAGTACCCATACTTTGATGACATATTTTGGAGGAAAATTGAACTAAAGCATGTTTATCCGACTTTTGTGCATAAACAGTATAGATTAGTTCAGCTTAATTATATGAGATGGAAAGTGCTGCGCTTCCGCCATATTGATTATGTTGAGAGTAGACTGAGGAAAGCATACAACAAGTAAATAGGCACAATACAGGTGGAACCATGCATTTTGAACACCCTTTAGTTTGTCCGTCCTGCAATTTGATGGTCAAATTTGCTGGGAGGTCAACTTGCTATTTGACCTCCACCCTGCAATGCAACCCACATTCAGATAAAAAACGTCAAATACAATGTAGAAAACATGAAATTTGACATTGTCTTCCAATTTTACTGATTCACAATTTGACCTCAGTCCAACAATGGATTAAGGTCAAATTGCAGGGCACCACCTGTACAGTCAAACCTCAAGGGACTCAAAAAAAAAGGAATGAGGAAGGTTTGGAGTTCAGGAAACAAACATTTTTGTTGGGGGTGAGAAAGGAAAATTACAGGAAATTGTAATTGGTGATATTCTGGGCCTTAAATTGCATCTTAAATGAGGTGACAGCAGGATGCTAAACTTGGAGGCAAGCATTCATTTGCTCAATTAGTCTTTCATATTCATTCAAAACACATTGTTGACTTTTGAATTCATTTTCCATTTTTGATGTCAATAAAATAATAACCAAAAAGTCTCCAGAAAATATTCAAGTTATATGGAGAACACTAGTACAGTATAATAAAGCGGAATGAATTCAAGTATAATGTATGTTTTTAATGCATTATTTCTAAGGGAATTCAGACAGAGACAAAAAAATGTATCGCATAAAGGTATTTGACAAAAGGAGACTTAGCCACAGGTTTTTTCAATTTATATAACTTAAACAATGCTAATTTTGAAAATATAATACAGTACAGCACATGTACATGCATACGGGGATATATTAAGTTCTGAAATACAGTATATCTCAAGAAACATCCAAAAAAAGTGATATCAACAAAGTTACATAGAAGGTCGTTTTCTATGAGACTACGTTTTATTTGCGTCAGGGAGCTTTGTATTTGGCTGGGGCTTTTGTACTGTAGTAAAAGTTTATGTCTAATAAAGTAGTAAGTTAACTCATCGTTGACTAATTGACTATATACACAATCTGCATTTTTTTAGACCCTGAAACAATTTCTAAATGTTGCTGAGACATTTTTCATGCCTCATAATGATACAATTTTTGGAAACCCCCAACTTTCTCGATTTTCGTGTCATGGATCAAAACGGACATCGTGTCGCTGGTGCTTGTACAAGGCTACTTGATTCTTCGATACTAACAGAAACGTGTCTCCGACCAGAATATATGAAGAAGAAGAACGTCATATCGTACAAGATCACTATTTCTTTAAACACATCAACATGATTAAATACTGACCTGGGCCTTGGATAACTTGGGGGCGTACTTGTAGGACCTGCTAACCCCGGGGGCACCAGTAGCAGTACCATTATTAGTACCGACCCCAGTACGAGTCCGTCTCGCAGATGAGGACCCAGCCAACAGCGAAGCAGACGTCGTGAGCACTGACGCCGCCATTTATCATGCGAATATATTGGACTTCACTCTCTCAAAAATATGTGTCCCAAAAAACTGAAACACGTTTTATTGGGATGGGGGGAATGAAACCGACTTGTGTCGAAGCTTCGACTGCAATGACGGGTTCACACACTTCTAACATGGGTGTAAGGTTCCGAGCCCCGGGGATCGAAACAGTGAGAGAGAGAGAGCTTTTGGTTTGTCTATCAGGTCCAAGGGATCATTTGGTGGAACAGGCGATGCTGGGATCCGATAGGGATCCGAACGTGGTGGGAATGACGCAAATAAACCTTGGTGGAAAGCCGGAAACCGAGATCCATCCGAGAGATTATTCGGGTGCCTTGGGTTCTCTTAGAGTTCCGTCACGACTGCTTTCCATGCGATCCTGGGGTTGGGCAGGAAGTCAGCAGTTCCAAGAATGTCTTTGATTCGAAATTTATTAAATTTTTATTCTATTCTATGCGTGTGGGTAACGAAATGAAGGTGAAGATCTTTCGCAGACCCTCGAAAAGACTACTTCTTGGTATTTGAGGAAATCCCTCGGAAACCCTTTTTGAATAAAGATATTGTTCTTTAGCTCATTTTTTATCACTTATTTAAAGAAAGTTTTGTTTTGGTCAACAACCTCCGAAGTATTCAAATTATTTTCGACTGACGAAAGGCGTCGAAGCGCTGAGATGTGATGTTTCTCATCAGGAGAGAATTTTCAATCATTTTTCCTCAATCACCAACTGTCAATATCCACTTTCGTTCTACTCGCAGAATGAGCAAATCAATGATCAATCCATTGAATTATTCGCTTGATGATTACCAACACATATCTCCGAAAATAAGCCTTACATGCTTGTGATTGTCTTAATAAATGTGAGCTCATTTCGTGATTTGACAGGGCTTTATTTTCAGATTAATTTGCGTTGAATGTCCGTGAGAAATTTATCTTTCACTTAAATTTTAAAAACGGTGACAGTCGCAGAATCGTTGAGAAAAATGAGTTAGGAATGAATAAATATGAATTTAAAATTCCTTGAAAGGTCGTTAGGAAAATGCGAGAAAAAGGCAACAAAAATTGTGTTGCGTGAAGCTTATTTTCCGAGCAAGGATTCAGTAGTGATATTTCATACGAAATGGTGAATTTTTTTTTCGAAAGAAAATGTGGGCAACATTTGCGAAAACATTTTCTTCTTTTAAAAAAAATCGCAGCGATGCTTTCCCGAAATCTGCAAAATTGAAAATGCTTCGCAAGAAAAAAAAAACGGCTGTCCCGAATTTTATAGTCCATCAAAAACTATACTGGTTTTATTTTTCAAAGTTTGAGAATTCCGGCATCCTGAATTCGAAGAATGTCGTATACATTCTTAAACTTTAGGAAAAATCCTTTTCTCGCGAATCACGCACGAGACCAAAAAAAAAAAAAAAGAATATCATGACGAAGCTTTCGAACTTGTTCCGTTTTTATGAGCTTCTTTAGACCATTCGAATGCACTTTCCAACTCTTTATGGGGCTCGCAAATCAGATTTTAACTCCGGTTCGTGGTTTCAAGTCTCATTCCTCCTTCCGAGTCTCCACTCAATCCATTTCAGAATCTAGATCTATACAACCTCACAATTTTATCGAAACAACGAGAGGGACTCTATAATTTATTCATACGGAATTGATTTAAACCTGTAACCGAACTTGAAACTCCGTTTGTTCCATAGTGACCATTTCATTCCCCGCCGTCGAGCATTTTTCAAAGAATGCTTTTTTAATCGATCCATAAATTTGTCAGGGCTTTGGGTGAACATGGTGTATCTGAAAATGTTTTTGCTTTGGTGAAATGCCAACAAAAGTCTATATAGTTGGTGACGAGCTAATCGAACGAATGCTTTTCCGATTTCACACCAAGGAGCCTCGTCATCTATATTCGCATTATCTGCTCGAGAAATTCTTCCGTGAAGACAGAATCAATATTCAAGCCATGACTTCATGAAATGCTACAAGCTCTCAGTGCTGCCAGATTATTGCCATCAAAATTCTGCTTTTCCATTTTTTGGCCCAGCTGGGAAATAATACGGGCAATTGGAAACGAATAGAAATTTGTCAAACATTCGTAGGAATCGTTGCTTCGATGCTCCACAAGATATCGTTGATTCAACCTTTCACCGGGTCATCCGCTGGCTTATCACACGAATGACAGAAGTTCAATCCTCACGGTTCCACAAACAAACTTTGGGTATATTGGAGGGGTTTCAATGATGGTTGGGATCGGAGAAGGGAAAAGGGACGATTGGGATCAGATCCAATGCCGAATGGATTTCCCCGAGAAAAAAAATGCACAAACCTTTTTTGACATAATTTAAAAAATAAAAATGCAATCGTATGACTCGACATACGGAAAATTCTGCTTATATAGACACACACGAAGAAAATATGTGCTTGTGTAAGCCTGTTACAGAGCTCTATGCGTGTGAAAGGGTTTTAAAGATATTTTAACTTTTTACAGCAAGAAGACTTGCTTAACTCTATTAATATAAGGGTTTTATTTTTAATTAATTAACATAGTAAAAATTGATTCAATTCATAATAAAAAAACGCCGATTTCATTGTTTTTCAATAGTTTTTCCCGTCATATATGTTTTTGAAGTATAGCTAGACTTTTGCTGGCTCTTTGCTATTTGAACTCCTTCTGATGCAAAAAGATAAGATTCTGCGTGATTTTTCTTCTTCGAAATCATTTTCTGGTTCTCGAAGTTGAGGAACATTTTGTACTCAATTTTTTGTGTAATTTATTCGTAATATTTTTATGAATACTAGACCCAATTAAATATGTTCCCACTGAAGTCGTCTATGGTAAAACATGATTTGACCTAAACGGACGCTGTGACATACAGTCACCAGGTCCAAATACCAATTTTGTCCGCATCTCGGGGCCGTGATGTCGTAATATTAAACATTATTTCCGTTTTTAAGAGGTACGCTTCTGCTCATCACTCGTTTATTAAATCAGATTTAAAAAAAAAACTCTTAAAATTTCCTTCACTCGAATTTTATCTCCGTCTAAAATTATTTCCGAGGACAGAATCATAATCTGATCAACCGTGGAACGTCACACGAAAGATTGACTGACGCATTTTGAAAAATAAAATAAAATCACACAGAAAACATCAAAAGTAAACTGAAAATCCGGAAATACTCTCTGGAACTCGGACGTTTCGGGGCAAAAACACGTCCAAACGTGTGGGGTCTAAAGGGCCTGCAGAAAACCGGATAGCAGTCAAGCGACCCTTGACCGGGATAGCCTTTACTCTTAGAGGTTTTTTGGGCAGCACAGCTTAGGCCCGTCATCCGCACGGAACTTTACGAATCCGAAAGAATTTCCCCCCAAAAGAGAAATTAAAGGAATAAACAAAACGGGAGAGGAAAAAGAATTGAAGTTCGGAAGTGTTGGTGGTCGTCCTCATCGACATTAGGTCGTTGTCGTTGCGCACATTGTGCGGTAACAACTTGTGGTCTTTGAGTAATAAAGGAGCACCGTAAGTCACTGAAGTCGCTTATATAACATATTACATCATTGAAAACTATAAGCATTTCATTCGGAAGTTATTTAAAGGAAGTCTGTGCATATATCTTTCAACTACACTTCAAATAATTCTAGAAAAACCACGCAGAGCTGATCTGCGTCATTATCGTAATTTTACCAACACAGCTCTGAAGTTCTCGCTAATTAATAAAAAAAGGAAATTTAGAGCGAAATAAAGTTTCAAATTTCAAAACATCATTTGAAGTTTTCCCCAATTTTTTTAGGTTTCTGTGCAAGGGAGTTCGATGTTTAAAATGCTGCATTTAATTTAGATCTACTAAATCAACATGATTTCCTGAGAGATCTTGCCAATTTATATAAAAAAAATTTAAATGTAGAGGGCTAGAAAATTTCAAATTTTAAAACATAATTTAAAATTTCCGGTTATCTCCCTCATTTTCCTGCTTTTCCTGGAGAGTTTAATGCTTCAAAGATCTAATCTGGATTAACAAGATTAAAGCGCATTTTCGAAAAATAGTGCTTCCAAATCCAAATCCAGGCAAATATGCAAATTTGCCACATAAATGACGCAAGTTTCACTCAGAAAAGGAAACCACCAGCAGGAGTAGCTGTAATCCAGCAACAGCAACGCGTGTAACACGCCATTGTTGAACACCAGAAACTCATTATTTCCTCGTGGCATTCAGTGACTTCAGCGAATATATTGTATAATGTAGTCTGAAAACTATAAAAATTTCATTGGAACGTTATTTAAAGGAAATCTGGGCTTATCCTTCAACTACACTTCAAATAATTCTAGAAAAGCCACGCAGAGCTGATCTGCGTCATTATCGTAATTTTCCGAACACAGCTCTGAAGTTCTCGCTAATTAATAAAAAAAAGGAAATTTAGAGCGAAATAAATTTTCAAATTTCAAAACATCATTTGAAGTTTTCCCCAATTTTTTTAGGTTTCTGTGCAAGGGAGTTCGATGTTTAAAATGCTGCATTTAATTTAGACCTACTAAATCAACATGATTTCCTGAGAGATCTTGCCAACTTATACAAAAAAATTTAAATGTAGAGGGCTAGAAAATTTCATACTTTAAAACATAATTTAAAATTTCCGGTTATCTCCCTCATTTTTCTGCTTTTCTTGGAGAGTTTAGTGCTTCAAAGATCTAATCTGGATTAACAAGATTAAAGCGCATTTTCGAAAAATAGTGCTTCCAAATCCAAATCCAGGCAAATATGCAAATTTGCCACATAAATGACGCAAGTTTCACTCAGAAAAGGAACATCTCACAAGAATCTAACAAGATTGCAGATATAGAGAAGCAATCTCTTCTCGCCCTCCAAAAATGCGTACTCTTGGATGTCAAAAAATATAGCACAAATAAATAAGTTTCAAAAAATCTCTATTAAATTCAGCAGGACTTACTTTTGCTCAAACATTGCACTCACTCATCACCTTGCACATCATCCATCAGAAGCACGCAAA